TTTTTTACTTCATGCATATGAATGTTTTGCATGCATGTAAGTGCATTCTGCTTGCCTGGTGTCCATGGAGGTCAGAAGGCACTGGATCCCCTGGAACTGAAATTATGGATGATTGTCAATAGCTGTGTGGGTGCTAGGAACCAAATCTAGGTCATCTGAAGAGCAGTGAGTGCTCTTAATTATTTGGCCATTCTCCCAGCCTGTAATCATTGACTTTAAACTGAGAAAGAAAGAGATCATGATTTGTTGCTTAGCATGAAACTAGTTTTGTTTATAGCTATTTTCATAACTCAAATATTTTAACTTTTCAGATGCTAATTCTACAGAATTTGACCCTAAGACTAGCCATCCTGTGGTGAGTCAAGCATTTGAACCGCACAGGGCTTAGAAGGGGTGGAAGGACATCTGTGAAGTAGGGGATGGCAGACAGGCAATGAGGCCACTGAGTCTCCCAAACCCTCAGATCTCATGATAAGGACTTTCTGGGTTTTCATTTAATTCCTCACCAGTCTTTTCAGGTTACCACAGGAAATCTGTAATAGACAGGTATGATCCCCTGATAGCAAGGAGATAGCTCTCCTGTCTCCTCAGTTCCTGGTGGAAAGTGTCTGGGGGTGGAGGCTTGTTGACGGTAATCATTGTTCTCAAAGTTCCATATAACGGCTCTTGTTCTCCTGGGTGCCAGTCCTGGAAGGCAGACAGGCTCAGGGTTGACAAGCTCGGGGTGGTGATTTCTTTAGGCTTTTTTCCAAACTGCAATCCTGCTGCTGTTGATCACCTAGGCATGTGGCCTAGACAGCCTGTAAGGTTCACTGGGGAGGAGCATTGTCTTTGTCTTTGAATCCCTAGCCCAATGAGTGACAGGCATACTTAAGCATTTTCTTTTTCAGTATTCAGCAAATGCTGATCATTGGTTGTGTACAAGAGACTGTTTTGTCATTGAGAATACTGACAAGATGGACAAGTTTTTGATCTCAGTGACTTAACATCTGTATATTAGGTGATCTAAAGTTGGAGTTTTGTTAATATAAGAACAGTGGGATGAGGGGGTGAAGCAAAGGGAAGCCTGGAGGAGTTTGTAAGGTGCTTGGGCATGCTGGGCCAAGAGGTAAGCCATACCAGCCCCCTTTGGGGTGCCACAGTCTCCCTGTTCATAGACTTGTTAGTGGCTGTTGGTCTTTCGTACCCTTTTCAGACCCAGAGGACAGCTGAGTCTGACTAATTAGTCTTGTGGCCATATTACTGTGGTGCCACAGCATAGAGCCTTTGATCTCCCCAGGGGACAGCATCGTGAGGCAGGCTGAAGCACTGAACTCCTTTCTGGGAGTGCTTCACTTGGGGAAGGAGGTCTGACTGTAACAGCAGCAGAGTGTGGTAGTCAGATTTGTTTTCTGAATGTCTCTAGGTCATAGACATGCCAGAACATAATCCTGGGCAGATGGGTGGAACCATGAGGCTGGGCAAGAGGAGGACCCTGTTCCAGACCAAGAACTCAGTCATGAGTAAGTTGTTTCACATGAGTCTAACTTTTGTCCTGGTCTATACAGGGCACATGGGCTAGGTGGTGCTGTAGCTCCAAAGAGCCAGGCCAACCTCTTCTTGGCTTTGTTCCTGGTTTTGCAATTTTTTCTTCCTCCTTTTTTCATGCTTGTTTAGGATGTTCTGTGTTAGCTAGATGGTCTCTGGGAATGCAGACAAGCCGTTAGGTTAAATCCTTTGCAATCCATGGTTACTTTCTTATACTAGTAAATAAAGCTATGCAGAATTTGGTGGTTAAAGAAAAAAAAATCACAATTTCATATAGTTTAAATACATTTTATTCTAACAAATAATCATGGTTAAAAACTTAGGGGAATTGGAGGAGGAAAATATTGAAGAAAATTAGTAGACATTGCCTTGCCCAGTGGAAACATTGCTTTAACCATTGGTAGAAGCACTCTATGTCTTGTGGGGGCAGACTAGTTTGAGAATCACTTGGACCATTTTCCAGTTTTCCCAGCTGTGCTGTTATGTATTTGGGGCCTCAGTAGACAGTGAGGAGCGAGTCAGTAAGCACCCCATTTACTCACACTGCTTATTTATCCACGGTCACCAGGCACCAACCAGCTTTTCATTTCCCTTCCAGACACTGTTCTGAGGGAACTGGCTTTCTAGGAGGGCCTGGCCTGTTCCTGTGGTGTTCCAGCATCACAGTGCTTTGCATTCAGCAGTGATGTGTTCAAGGGACCTCGTGAAAGTTTGTTCCTGTTGTGGTACTTAGTTTGGGCAGAGGAGTCAGAGCCCCAGGAATTGTCTGAATTACATATATCAAGAGCAGATGGCTAGCAGAATTTTGGTAGCCTGGTTTACTACCTACATGATGGAGTGAATTGGGAAGTTAGTAGTTTACATAGATTGTTTGTCATACAAATTGCCTGGTTTTCTGCAGGGAAACTCTATGGAGACACAGACTACTTGGAAGAGAGGCACCGCCACCGATTTGAGGTGAGGATGTGAGCCTGCTCCTTCTGCTACTATGCAAAGAAGGGAATGGAGAGGCCAGCACAGTGAGTTTTCTGCCCCACCAGGTGAATCCAGTCTTGAAGAAGTGCTTGGAAGAGCAAGGCTTGAAGTTTGTTGGCCAAGATGTTGAAGGCGAAAGGATGGAGATTTTGGAGTTGGAAGGTGACTGGGTAGTGATAACTCCTCGGTGTGTGGGAAAATAGAAAAATGTGTTTCCCAGATGTGGCGGTGTCATACGCTGCGGTTCCAGCCCTTAGAGAGTTGAGGGAGGAGGATGAGTTCAAGTTAGCCAGGGCTTGAGCCAGATAGACCTTGTCTAAAGAAAAACGAGGCGGCAACAGTGTCTGGGCAGCAGTTTCTGACAGTTCTGGAGATAGGAAGTGTCTCCCTAAGCATGGCTTCCACGGCAACCATGTAGCCCTGGGCTCTCCTGGTATGAAGAACTGAACTTTGTGCTAAATTCCTTTCAGATTTCATGTGAGCTGTGGGGCTCAACCTAGGCAAGTCACAAGATACTCAGGACTCTGGAGAGCAGGAGCCTCCCTCAGCCGTGAGGTCTATGGTATTGAGGAAAGAGTCAGCTCCCTCCTGCTTTGGAATTCCTTTTGCCTTGAATTGAGTTTCTTTCAGACACTCTTAGGGTTTATTTGTCTCATCTTTGTATGCACAGGATACTAATTTTTCCTTCTGAATTTGTGTTGCAGATCACCCATTCTTTGTTGGGGTGCAGTATCACCCTGAGTTCCTTTCCAGGCCTATCAAGCCCTCCCCACCCTACTTTGGCCTCCTTCTGGCCTCTGTCGGGAGGCTCCCATACTACTTGCAGAAAGGTTGCCGGCTCTCACCCAGGTAGGGATATTAATCACAGTGAGGCTCTACACAGGCTAAGGAAAAGCCATTTAGCAGGTCCTGGTCCTTGTGTAGGTGACCACACATTCCTCGCTATGCTGTGAAGGTTAAAGGTTGGCTTCCCCTGTCTTACTGGCCAGGCCTCCTCTCTGTGATTTCTGGTTCTGGTAATGCTGCTGAGCAGATCCTGTCCATGGCAAGCGGTCACAACCAGCTGGGCTTATGCCCGATTACTTTTATCTGAACTAGTTTCTCTCAGTAGGTGGCAACCATATCAGTATTGAAGTACTCAGGAAGGAAATCCCTCCACAGCCTCACATGGGTGGTAGAGATCGTTGCCATGTGTGGACACACACTGTTGTATAACAGTGGTTACAGAGATGGGGAGGTAAATTGTTCGCCGGGAGACGAGTAAACCTTCTGTATTCCACAGGGACACTTACAGTGACAGAAGCGGGAGCAGCTCCCCCGACTCTGAAATCACTGAACTGAAGTTTCCATCAATAAATCAGGACTGATCTGGTAAGTGACATTTTTAATGTTTATTAAAAAAAGACAGTCTCTAAGAGCTCACTGGCAAGCCCGCCCAGCTGTATCAGTGAGCTGCAGAGACTTTGAGAAGTTGTCTCAAAAAGTAAACTGAAAAGTGACAGGAAGACGCCTGCCAGCCTCTGTTCTCCACGTAGAAGGCACACACAGGTGCATAGACCTACACTCCCCTCCACACACAGACATTTGTCAGTCATTGGGAGTGCCTGTCCCTCGGCAGCCTTGAAACAGGCTGCTGCTTTAGACAGAGTGTTTGTATCTAGCTGAGCATGGCACAGAGGTTGCTGCAAGACCTCGATGGTGTGTGGTTCTGTGGAATTGCAAATGCGGGCTTCTGCCATTTTCCCATAGGAACAGGCCTTATTCCCTGTGGTGGCTGGCGGCTGACCACGTTCTGACACTTCTCTAATAAACATCTTGTAATTCTAGCATTTTTTTTCTTTTTAAACAGGATGATTCTTCAAGAAAGCCTTTGACCTGATAGTTTACAACTATGATTTTACACTCTGCTTTTGACACTTCCTTTAAATTATGTTTTTATTAAGATTATTTTATTATGGGGGAAAAGTATTTGGAAAACTTTGCCACTTGCATGTCCTATCATTTATATTAGCTCCTGCGACATACCTGTTTGTGAGACAATTCCTTTGCAATTGTGTTTCTGACATGGGAAGTGAGACTCTGGATGGGACCTGATGGTGGCCAGCAGCTGGTTGAAGGCCATCAACCACCTTGCTTTTCCAACCACTCGAAGTCACTGTCATTCAAGTGCATTGCTATTATTTCCCTGGGGTGCCAGCTCTTCTAGCTGGACTTCTAACTGTAGGCATTGCTGGAATCTTGGTGCTGCTGAGTTGTGGGGGACTTGGTGCCAGTTGTGGCCCTTGTCATCCAGAGGGATGTTTGGTTCTTAGGCACATGAGATAAGCTCTATGAAGTGTCACATTAAAAATCTTGGGGCTCTGGCCACACTTCCTGTTTGTGGAGCTGAGAACACTCCTTGCATCAAGGGGTCAAGAAATGAACAATCTTGGGAACTATTTATGAGCCCTCTCTTGTGTATGCAGCATTGGTTTGGGGGTATTTTTTTCCTTCCAGGATGGTGTTATTGCAGTTGAAATGCAATTCGAAAAGTTATTTTCCTAATGTGACATAGCAGTGGGCGTGGCCACATGCCCACACTATGGTGGCTGGCTCAATGTATACGCCTAACTTAATAAATAATGAGGAACCATTGCTGTGTATTCTTATTCTGTCACTGGCTGGTGTGTTTTTCCATGGGTACTAAGCTTCAGTGCTGGGTTGTTCCTAAGCCAGCAGTGTGATGCTTTGTATCAAAGTAAGATGCAAGCCTTCATAGCACCTAGGATTTCTCAGCAAGGCTTCAGTTTGTCATGACATACCATGTGCCAAGGGATTCAAAACCAGTTGCTGCTGTGTGTTACTCAGCAGGGGAAAAGCAGAGCCATGGGCTGCCTGAACATGATCATTTGCTCACTGCAGACAGGGCACTTCACACATGGAACCAGACAGCTAACCAAGGGCTATTCTAACCAGCTGGTCTGCTTTTTCTCACTCTGCACTCATTCGTGACCTCTAGAGTTGAAGCTCAGAAGTTCAAGGTCACAGGGACTGGATTCTTTCCAAAGTCACCATTACGAGGTGATGGTGGCAGGTTGCAGGCCTAGTTGTGTATAGGTTGTAAAAGTAATATCCTTCACTTGCTGTAAGTTGAGACATTGAGTCTTGGGGAGGGATATGTGTCTCACCAGTTAGTCCAGCTCCTACCTTAGACTCTCATTCTCTGGTCCAATGCCACTATCATCCCTGAGGCCTCCTGTCTTTCCCTCACTTCTCAGTAAGCTCATGTTTACTTCTACACAGATCCTGTCTTCTGTGTAAGAAGAAGACATTACTTCTCATTTCCCTTCCCACCCAGTGGTTTCATTATTCCCCATGCTGAGGCAGTATTGTAAGTCCTGGTAGGGGTTGTATTCTGTTTGCTGCATGGAAAGATCAGGTCTTGAGTAGTGAGTGGTCCAGGGAGTGTCCAGTAGCCAGTGAATGGGGCATGGGAACTGAAATTTCAAAACTCGGCGTGTGCACATGTGTTGAGGATACAGTGCTTTTTCTTTTTGATGCCTACTCTGAATGTGGCTGAGAACCTCAAGAAAGGGAGAGCGGATAACTACTTTCATTGTCTTATAAAATGTTATTTGTCAGTACTTTAAAAGTACCCTTGATTGTTGATTGTCTCATTAGGGTATTAGGTACCTATCACATGCCTGTGTTCTGAACACAGACCATATCCCTGACCTGCAGCATGTACTTCAGTGGGAGAAACTCTGACATTGCTATGGAGGGGAAAGGAAGCCAGAGACAGTTGCTCCTGCCCGTGATCCTAGCACCTTGGCAGTGACAGGACTGGGGGTGTTGAAGCAGGAGGATTACCACAAGTCCAAGGCCATCCTGGAGGGGAAGCTAAGTCCTGCAGCTCTGAGAAAGAGGGCTCTAGACAGGGGAGCACTCAGTGTAGAGGTGGGGTGGGGTGGTTGCTGTAGCATGTGTGGCTGGTGTTAGGGGCAGCAGGAGGAGCTACTAAAGGTGGCTGTCTTACGATGAAACGGGTGTGGGCAGAGCAGGTGGAGCAGGATTTAGCTCTTGCTTTAGTGCCAGTTAGTGGGGAAGCAATAGTCTGTGGCTAGACTCCTCCTGTGAATGGCTGTTCTGCCATGGCTAACAGATACCAGATACTACATGATGGTGACAAAATGCCCCTTGCCCACTTGTCACTGTCTGACAAGTCACAAGACTAAGTCAGAGGTAGGCACAGTTTCTCCAAGTGCTGAGTCTTAGGGCAGAGCTGCAGTGGGTGCTGAGTGGCTGCAGTGCTGTGGTATCTCAGAGTGGGGCTTTGCCTCCTGAGCAGATGTGGGCTGGGCATGAGACTTGTGATACAGCAGCCTCTGGCTGGCTGATCAACTGTCTTAGAAGTAACTAAGCATTCCTGTGTGTGTAGGTGTATAAGGAGCGGTGACAGGTTAGGGTAAGAGCTGCAGGGTGGCCCTTTCCAGGTTGACAATTTTCCTAGCCTGCTAGAATTGGCTTAGGCAAAAAGTGCATTTGGGATTAAGAGTTAACAGTCCCTTAGAGGTCAGTTCTAGAATAGCTAGCCAAGTTTTCCGAAATCGGGGTTCTTGGCGATGTGCCAAGAGCTGATGGTCAGCCTGTTCTGAGGTGAAGCCACAGCACCCGCATGAGCAGTGCCGAAGGAGAGAGGTGGTAGCCCATGTATGTTTTATTCCAGGCCTTAGCCCCCATCTTCCTCATCCTCACAGGACGCAGCAGCTGCAGGACAGGGACCGCTGCTGCTGAAGCTGCTGCTGAAGCTGCTCCTTTTCCACCGTTAGCACCTTCACCTTCTCTTCCAGCTTGCCCAGCTCCATCGTCCACTTCTGAGAGGACAGTGTGGCAGTGATGATCAGGCTGCCAGTCCCAGGCCATCTTTTCTGGGGTGGGCCATAGCCTGGGGGCCCTGGCTATGCTGATGCCTCTGACCAAGGAGCTTGAGGTGCCTGTATACTCCACTGGGATGGAGCCCCCTTTGCAGCCTCCCAAGGGCTGGCACAGGGATCTATCTGATCACCACCTGACCGTGTCTCCAGTGTCAGCTCCGTTGCCCTCTGTTTTTCACCACCTGGTGGTTCTCTCAGAAAGCCTGCACCATGGGACTCAGTCCAGCTTTCTGCCACCCCTCACCAAGCTCTACCCAGTTACAGTGCATAACACTTGGAGTTTCCGTATAGCACCTCAGTAGTCCAATCAACCTGATCCCCTGGTCCTTCAACATAATGGCTCAACTGCTGAGCCAAGGTGGGTGGGGCTTTGTGCTGTGGATTGGGGTACAGGTTTTAAAATGACCACTGTGACTTTCCCTCTGGCTACTGAGCTGTGGAATTTGGGAGGAGGCAGAGTTCTTTTCATCCAAGCCCTCCCTTCTCCAAGCATGCCCACAGCCCTTTAGGGTAAGTGGCTGGAGAGGTCTGAGTCCGCTTGACCTCAGCCTACCTTGGCCAGAGCCTCCTCACCTGCCTGCACCAGTCCTGGATGGCGCCAACAGACAGTGGGCCCTGGATGCTTCCGTCACGTCGTAGAAATACCTCCCCCTGGTCTGTCTCATAGAGCTGTGGCTCACCCTGGGCCTTGGGGGTGTGTACGGTCAGACGGAGTACCTTAGCAGGGGCAACAGCAGCTCAGAAGGTGCCACACCTGATAGTGACAGCCCCAGTTCCACTTGAGCAGCTCCACACTTTACCTCCCAGAAGCAGCCTGGTGGGCTTCTGCTTGCTGCTACCCACCCGTGCTGCTCAGCAATGTCACAGGGCAGTCCCACTGTTCTGAGTGACCATAGGCACTAGTAGCTCACCTTGAGAGGGGTGTTGGCTGTGGAAGTGCTTATGACGGGGATGAAGGTGAGGGTGTAGGCATCAGGGAAGACCTGGGGTTTGAAGCCCTGCAGGATGGAGTCCACCAGCAGGCGTGTGCGGTCCTCATCACGGTGGCTGCAGTGGATGCCCTGTACCAGGCCATTGTCCTCCACACCTACCAGCAGGCTGCCACCCTCACTGTTGAGAAAGGCACACACGTAGCGCCGTACGTGGTGCTTGAAAGCCAGACTCAGGTACTCACCGCTGCCTCGCTTAAATTCCACGTTCCGTGTCTCACTGCCAAGGAAAGCACCCTGGAATAGCTGCTCCTGGCCCAAGATCTCCTGGTGCACAATGGCACTATCAGAGCGCACGCCACTGGGTCGGTTCTGAGAAATCTGTCGACGCCCAGCCCAGCACCAGTTAGGGGAAGAGTCTGGCAGTTGGGGCTGCTGTGGGCGCCTTAAGCCTGGGCTGGGGCCAGGGCTGGCGCTTGGGCTTGGGCCGCTGTCCTGTTGGGGTAGGGGTCGAGAGTGGGTGTATAGGCAAAGGTAAAAGATAAGGAACCCTAACCTAAGAGACTGCCAGACCACCATCACACTACTGCTATTGGTCCTCTCCCAGGCTGAGGGCTTGGGCTCCTACAGTGACACCTGCTCTAGGATGCCTGGGTGGGTAAAGAGATTGTCCCTTTGGAGGCGGGAGCCACCCATGGGTCAGTCTTTTCCCACTTGGGAGTATGTAATAGGGTTCAGGCCTCGATGTTCCCAGGAGGCATCTTGGTACTCTGTAGTTCTCTGGGCAGAGCTGCAGGGCCTTGAACTGAGGGACCTACCCTCTTTGTTGTTCCTGAGTGTCTGCCAGCTACCTCCTGGCCAATGGAAAGTACCCTGAAACTTAGCTTGCTTTCTTCTTCCTGAGTCCCTCTGTGGCTCCTGTTTTGTCTCTAGGGCTCTGAGCATTTTGTTTCTGCATGGTAACTTCCTTAGGGTCTTGACAGCCCATCCATTAGCTTCCTCTTCCCATCTCAGTAGCTCTAAATGCCAATCGAGTGGCCACTCCCATTTCTCAGCAGCCTTCACTTCTACAGGGAAGGACACTCAGCTGGGCTGGTGCACACTGATGGACAGGACCTAGCAGCCCTCAGCTCCCCAGGGAAGATGAACTTAGCCTCAGAAACAGAACAGAACTGGCACAGAAACACAAAAGCAGGTGCTTGGGCATCAAAGGTATCACAGAGCTGCAGAGCCACAGTTCATGCCCCATGGGTTTGCCCTCTGGACAGAAGACCCAAGGATATTGGTAGTATAAACTTTCACCCCTCAAAACTGGCCTGGACCCTGCTTTCCTGAGATCATGACAGCTGTAGTGATCTGGACCCAGCCTTTGGCCCAGCTTCTTCCTCAGATGCCTCTGTGGCCTGCAGCCTCAGGTCCAGAGATATCAAACAGCCTGTTCTATGGCACTACTGAATATCTTTTCTTGGGGCCTTCTGTGCTCCCAAGCCTGGCTTTTCGGTCCCCTTTAATTTGTCTTCAGTGGGCCGTGAGGGCTTGCCTGTTCTCCCTCAGCCACTCCAACTTTGGGACTGGCAGAGTTGGTTCTGCTCCTGAAGGACTTTCCTGCCTCAGCCTCACTTCTGGTACTTGTGGTGTTTGTCAACAGAACAAATGAGGTAGGCTGAGGAGAAAACTAGCACTTGGTATGTTATGTCCTGGGTCTCCCAAATCTGATTGGAATGCAAACATTAGTCCCTCTGAGAAGAGGGGTCAATCATTGAGTCACATCCCCAGGGCATGCGTGCAGTGCATCTCTTCCTTAACAAGCCTTTCAGGGGACAGTGGGTAAATGGCACTTACCTCCCTGTGGTTTAAGGACTCCAAGCCCTCACTCAACACCAGCTCCTTGCCACGGGCTGTGAGCTCTCTGAGGATTAGCTGCTCCTCCATGGCCATCTGCAGACGCCAGGGAAGGGCGGCCAGGGCAGCCTTGGGGGCAGCCACCTGTACCAGTGCATAAGTGTTTCGTGGCCGCCTTACTACTTCAATGTGCTCACGGGCCACTGGCAGCTCCAGCCGCTCTAGGGTGTCTCGTAGCAGGCAGGCAAGCACGGGCACAGAGAACTGGGGGTTCAGGTGGCCCACATAAAGAGTATGTGTGCTGGGAACTGCCTTGAGGCCAGAGTCCTTGGGCGAGGACTCTTTTCGAGGCAGCTTTGGCAGGAGCTGCTTGTCCTGGGACTCCACGGGGGACTCCCACATCTGTGTCTGTGCTGACCTCTTCCTCTGAAGGGATTTTGGTAGTCCTCACTGCTGAACGCTCTTTCTGGGCCTGGCTTTCAGGCTGGCCAGGGTGTCCAATGGACTCACAGGTGCTGAGGCTTCTGGAGGCATATGGACTGGCAGAAGCTAGGTAGGGTTAGAAAGAAAGGAGGGCAAAAGGCCAGTAAGCCCCCCCCCCTTTGGTGCCTAGGAAAGAACCAGGTGGGCCTGTGGGTAGATGAGGGTTTGCTTGAAGGGTTAGGAGGAGTCTTTGAGGTCTCCTTCACACCCTCTAGCTGCCTTCCTAGGACCTCCTAGCTGTCGCTGGGGTTTCCTCACACCTACAAGGTTCTCAAAGTCTCCAGGTCCTAGCAAGATGGTTATACTGGGCCTCAGAGTATATAGGTCGAAGTTCCAAACTCTCAGGGCTGGTCTGCCTCTCTTCCACTTGCTCTAAAACCTGCCAGGAGGCTAGTATGGGTCATTCAGACTAGGATTAGGTTGGCAGGTTCATGGCTCAGCGGTCCTGTTCTTCCAAAGGTGCTGAGTTCAATTCCCAGCAACCACATGGTGGGTCACAACCATCTGTAATGAGATCTGGTGCCCTCTTGAGGAAGAGACCTGGTCAGTCATCCTCATCAACTTAGACCATGAAACCCAATATGAACAAGTTCAATAGACCCACCATATAGGCTGCCCATGCATGCTTCAGTATTGCCAGGGCATAAATTTCAATTTTTCATTTTTGGCAGGTTCTTGGGGTTTTGTTATACTGACAAAAGCTATAGTCCCCCCTCCATGAAAAGGATCTTTGCATGGCCTCAACATAGAACTTGAAGCCAGGTGATGGTGGCACACACCTTTAAAGCAAGTTCCAGGACAGCCAGGACTATACAAAGAGACCCTGTCTTGAAAAAACCAACCAACCAACCAACCAACCAACCAACCAAATCCAATTTGAGATGCCCCAGGAACTTGAACTGAGCTTGCACGTCGCCCTAGGCTTGGGAGCACATTTACAAGTTTTGCCACAGGCCCTCCACTCACCCCCATGCCCCCAGCCTCCAACTTGGGTGGCAGGTGCCACCAGCCCGCATCTTTCCAGATTGGATTTTTGAGGTGGTCGGAGTCCGAGAGCCACTACAGCGGCAGTGAGGGCATTCAGGGCAAGCCACAAGAGGAGGCAAGAGGAGGCCTATGATCTTCATGTCCTGCTGGCTCCTGCGGGGGGCATGGAAGGTGCTCGCCCTGGGCTCTCACAGCTCCCTGGCCTGGGATATTAAGACCTGGCATGGAGGCAGAGAGAAGCATAGGAAGTGGGCGGGGTCTGCACATGAACCTCTGTGATCTCACGAAGGCCAACAATGCCTTCTGATTGAGCCACAACCAGCAAGCAGGACTGGGGGATGCTGAGCAAAGATGGCCCTCAACACCATACTCTTGGCCAGACACTGTAAACAGACGCAGCTGTTCAGGCACCACACAGCTTGGCAATGGTGGCCCTTGGAGCAGCTTCCAGAACTGCGGGTCCAAATCCACTTCTTCCCTCTGCACGACCTCTCCAGACCCCAGTGCTCACACAAGCCACTAGTTGCCACCTTTTTGGCTCTGCTGGCTAAAGTTTCCACCTCCTTGGTCCTCAACCCCAAGCTCCATAGAGTGCTGACAGGACCTAGCTGCTTCCAGGATGAACCAAAATGTACAGGGTGGGATCCAGGGTTCCCTTGATACAAGACCCTTTTCTGTGCCAAACAGTCATTTCTTGTTAGAGGTTATCATCTAGAAGGACCTACAAATCAGCTAGGCTTGAATAACATGCAGCCTCTGCCAATGAGGCCCTCGAGGGCAGCTTAGCTTAGGTAAGCTTCCTTTTCTTTTTCTTCTTCTTTTTCTCCAAGTCAGGGTTTCTCTGAGTCGTCCTGGCTGTCTTGGAACTTGCTCTGTAGACCAGGCTGGCCTCAAAGACATCTGCCTGCCTCTGCCTTCCCAGTGCTGGGATTAAAAGAATTTATCACCACTACCCAGAAGAATTGTTTTTATTTTATGTGCATTGGTGTTTTGCTTGCATGCATGTCTGTATGAGGGTGTCAGATCACCTGTAACTGGAGTTAGAGACAGTTGTGAGCTCCCATGTGGTTGCTGGGAATTGAACTTGGGTCCTTTGGAAGAGCAGCCAGTGCTCTTAACTGCTAGGGCCATCTCTCCAGCCCCAAGTACCTCTTATTATTATTAAAAACTGATTTACTGCTGTGTGTATGATGTGGGGGAAGGAACACATGTGTCATGCCACACGTGGAAGTCAGAGGACAACTCTGGAGCTGATTCTCTCCTTCCTCTTGTGAGTTTTGGGGACCAGTATCAGTTCTCCACGCTAGCACAGAAACACTTTACCAACTGAGTCATCTTGTTGGCTCCTAGGTAAAGACTTCATTACACACTTTCCCACTCCTAGTAGCCCTCATTACTGGGAGCAAGGGGGAGACCTTCAATCAAATAGCTGTTTGCCTTCCTGTGGGCAGCCAATTTGAAGGCATGCCTGAACTTTTTGGTGCATGTAGATTGGAGGTAGAAGCTTGGGCAGGGAACTTGAGGGAATTAAGACAATGGTGTACAGACAGGGAAGAGGCCCAGTCCCTCACAGAGTGGCTGAATGAGGCTCTGTGAAGACCTGGCAGGTGCTAAATGGCTCATCCCTGCAGTCACACCTGCCGCAGCTATCCCTAGCTGAGTCACTCAGCAACACTGAAGCTTGGAGTGCTTCCTGGCTGTTGTCTCAGGTTGCCCTGTCTACACTGTGGCTCCAGACAGCTTTCTCTTCCTTCTGTAAACCTGTTCCCACTGAAAGCCAACAGGCTGTGTGACCCTGGGCTTGGGTGCCAGGCCCTGGTCAGTGCAATGGGTACCATGCAGGCTTGCCTGTACTGCCTGCCTCTCTTTTCACCTCACAAGAAGGAGAAAGCAGCCTACTGAGGCTCCTGGGAGTTGCCAGTCCCTGGGCTGCTCCTGGTTTCATGAAGGTGCAGTGTTGACAACTGTCTAACTGACAAAGGGAAGCAACTTGGGTAGAGGCTGGGGTCTGCAAGGTGCTGGGTGCTGTGGGCACCTGGACTGCGGGACTAGAAGAGTTCCTAGAGATAATCTGGCTAAGGCTCCTTGTTTTACATGTGTGAACAACAAGATTAAATGAAGAGACAACCTTCTCGCCGAGTAATTTGGATGTCAACTAGTTAACAGGACACGGGCATTTTACATTGGTTTTTATTTATAAACAAACTGACATAAAATAGTTCAGATGGCAGTGGGGGCAGCAGTGCTGCTGGCTTGCTTAGGAGGAAGCATAGAAGCTAGCAGAGGGCAACCCTTCCAGCCTGGAGGTCCTCCGTCCCACCTTGGGGCCATGGCCTAGAGGCATTAGGCCCCATCTTTTGCAGCAATTCTGACCAGGGCAGGGAGCTGTGATGGGGGCAGGGTGGTGGAAAAATCCATCAGAGATAGAGACTGGGGTTACAAAGGGCATAGTGTGGGAAGAGGGACCCTCACCTTTCCATGCCCAGTCAGCCATATGCCTCTGTCCACCCCAGAGAGGAAGAGCCCTAGGGCAGTGTCCTCTGGAACAGGGTCATACTTTTCTGGAGAGGCCCTCTCTGGAACAGAGGGTGGTCTCCTTCCCAAAAATATCTGGTGCAAGAAAAGCATGAAGTCCAAGTGCCAGAAGCAATACATTAGCAACAAGAAAGGAGCTTTTTAAAAAAGGTCTGCACCATAAGTTCAGAGTCTGGGGATCTGGTGAGAAGGCATGAGCGGGGGGCCATGGAACCCTCTCCCAAGCCCAGGAGGCGGTGAGGGGCCTGGGTGTCAGGGCCTTTCAAGGCCCTAGAGTTGGCCTTTTCCTCCATCTCTTTGCAAGGTGCTCAGTCTAAACTTGTGGTGAGTGGCTTGGCAAGCCTTGAGAAATAAATAGGAGGGGCCTGGGAGCCACAGCAGGCTAAGGGGAAGAGCAGCACCAGCCCTGGGCCCACATTCTTCCCTCCTCAGTCCTTCATGGAAGGACACATCATGGTAGGAGGGGCAGTAGTGGTGGTTCTCCAGCCTCCTGGAGTCCTGAGATCACCCAGAGCCCTATGGAGGTGCCTGGGAGCTGGCTGGCGGCTTCCGGGGAGAAGAATGCCTCCTGTTCAGAACTTGCCCTGTTTCAGCCGGTCAATGTGAAAGGAGAGCTTGAGGGCGGGCCCCAGCTTCAGGCCCATGTACTTCATCATCATGTCACTGCGCAGCAGGAGCAGGGCCTTGCCATCGATCTCCTGGGGGTGGGGAGGAGCCACCATCAGATGCCTGGTTGGTCTGACTGCCTCAGGTGCCAATGATGACCCAGAGCAGTGCAAGGCACACAATGCAGCCAGGCTGCCAGGATCCTGAAGCCTGCCTTTTCTTCTCCCTGGTGCTCTGAGCATGTCTCTTCAGGCAGGCACTAAGGGGCTGCTCCTCCCACCTTGCTCTTCGCTGCTGCTTTCCTGTCCTAGGCCTCCGAGAGGCCTTGCAGTGAGTGCACCTGCGCCTTCTGTTTTGCCATCTACCCTCAAGATAGCACTGTGCACTGAACCACAGTCGGCCTCTTGGGGGCAGTGGTGACTTTCAGGCTTGCTCTGGAGCCCTTGTAAACACACTTACCTAAAAGATTTCTGTGGACAGTGAAGGGGCAGACTTTGTAACCACAGGAAGGCTGGCACCAAGCAGCACAGAGGTAGGGAAATGGGTGTGAGCCCTGAAGCTGGGGGTGTGGTCAGAGCAGGAGGAGCAATGTCTAGGCATTGGTCTCTTGAAGGGAGCACCAGGCTCACAGGTCAGCAGAGGAGGGGACTAGCGATAAGGAGGCAGGGTCTCCTTTAACTTAGGCTAAAGTCCTTGAATCTTGTAACAAAGCAGATGGAGTAAGGTATCCTTGGGAAAAGAGATAGACCCCTCTAACCTAGAACTGAGCCCCAAACCACAAATCCCATGAGAATCTGGCTCAATGAAAGTCTATGCTAAGAGAGTGAGGTAAGCACAGCACCCAGTAGGGTCTGCTTGAGATGGCATCATTTATGTTGTTTCAGTGGACATAGAACAGATAGCCACACCCTTTAAGATTGAGAGGTTGCCACACACACAGGAGGTCAGACAGAGGCACTTACGTGTTTTCGGAAGAGGTCAGCATGGGGTCCGAGCTGAGGATCTGCTTCCCGGACAAACTGCATCACATCCTCCACTGACCATGAGGAAGGGTCCCGGCCACTCAGGCGAGGGGCATCTCGGTTCTCCAGATACCGATCTGACCCTGAATGACAGAAGGGCATCTACCATAATGCAAGTAATGACCACTGGTTCATTCCCACTAGCCTCCTGGCACACTCCATGGCCTCAGAGGTGATGCTCACAGTAACATTCAAGTGGTAAGAGACGATTGGAGGTTCTCCATGTGGAAGGCTTTTTCCACAGAGAATTCACAACTTCATTCTGTAATGCAGGTCTGGGTTTTGGGAATGAATCACACTGAACCTGAGGGAGGTATCAACAATGTAAGAAGGCTTCCTGGGTTTGGTGGTGGGACAGAAAGGAGTGGGTATTTATTTTTGTCTTGGCTTTGGGGACCAGATAAATAGTGGTATTTGAGTGAAGCAAGAGCCAATTCTTTGGGGACTGGAGATAAAACTGAGAGCATACTCTGGGTCCTCTCCTAAGGCCTGGAGAATAAGTGGCCTCCCTACTTATTACTAGGGCAAAAACTTTTTGCCTTGGCTGCCAGGAATCTCAGTATTTATTTAGGGGTCTGTTGGCAGCTTTTTTAAAAAATCTCAATCATGGTTGAAACACAGCTCTTCTATTTTCCGTGTGACTTGGGATCTGACTGCTTTGGTCATCCACCATTGTAGATCCCTTATGCATGTATTCCCTCTGCCCTCCTTCCTTCTCTTTCTTTAGCTTCTCCATTTCTTCAGGCAAACTCCAGCTTAGCTAAGGAGGTCTTGGCTTCAAGGACCAGATCCTTTCTGTTTCAATGCTGAAATAAATGGTCCCTCAAAGCAGTAGTGGAATCTTATCAGTTCCCTCTGATTCACTGCCATGGCCTCCCATTGTCCAGGGAGGGGAACCTGAATTCCTACAGTGCTGATGGAGTGGAGTGAGGTTTGCCTCACGTCACACTCTGGGACAAGCCAACTTGTCTTCTGACTTGTCTAGAATGTCCTTTTCTAACCTGACTCCTCACATTCGCACCTGACTCAATTATCTGCCTTCTCTGATCTTGTCACTCTCAGTCGGTTTACCGTGGGCACATGTCACACCATTATACTTTCACGCGCTCATTTATTTGGTGTGCATTAACCGTGTCCCCTATATAAAATGTAAGTAGTACCATGTTCCTTACACATGAAAGAGTAACTGGTCTGCCATACTGATGCCTGAGTATGTTTCTCAGTGAGGTGAGGTGACTAGCTAAGATTACCCAGCTAGGAAGGAGAAGAGTTAGTTCTTTATTCTTGATTTGTCCTGTTCCTTTTTCTGTAGAGAGCTGACCTCCCTGCAGTGACAAGGGGCCAGGTTGGCACACTTGTATCTGATCCTCTGGATTAAAGAAATAAGAAAGGGCAAAGACTCAAATTCTTAATTTTTTTTTGGAATAGGCACTCTATAGCTTATCAGATTGAATCCTCCAGCCTTAGAGGTTCTTCATGGACAAAAGAGTTTAGAGTACGAGCTGGAGAGACTCACGATGTGCTTGAAGCTGAGAGCCCAGAGCTGGTAGAAGAGGCAGCCTATTTACTGTGATCCCTGCCAGACGGGACCTTGTCTTGGTGGAGATGGAAATACAGTAACTCACCACATACCTGGGGAATGACTTCGTTTCCAAAATGATTCCACATCCCTCCTTTCATTTGTTCCTTTCAGCATTCCTGCGGAAAGACCAGGTTGAGATGAGAAATTCTATTCTTCATGAGGAACACTCAGCAGATGGGAGACCTGAGCGGAGACAACTTACTCAAGTCTCAGGGTGAGGAAGCTGAGAGAGCCGCATCTCAGCTCCACCTCTACTTGACAGTTTTCTACTTCATTTAGCCTCTCTCTAGAGCTGGGGTAGAACACAGGCTGCTTCTTCTGTCTCAGTCCTTATGAAAGCTCTCTTCAAAGTCATCTCTCACTTCTTGTTATTGGAATCTTTTTATTTTTCTACACGTCACATACCCTGGGCTGGGGGAAGCCAGGCTAGGGTTTGGGGATAGTATCTTCCTGGCTTCCTGTTGGTGTTTCTAGATCATCCTTCTATGAAACTTCTAATGTCAGAGGCTAACCCTATATGCAGCCACCTGCTCTTTCTGGCCACGATTATCAATAAATCTCTGTGTTGTGTTCCCTTATTAAATGAAGACTTTTGGTGCTTGGCTCACCCTTTTCTGTCCCACCCCAGTTCCTGCTGCTCTCTGGGGGGCAACCCACTGACCTGTCTACCACAGCAGCAGTGCTCTCACCCCTCCTCTATGTCAGACACCACTGCTAAGGCCACTGGCTGGTGCTTATCAGCATTTTGAACAAATGCTTCTGAATTTTAAGCACACTCTTCTCTGACACCAACTGCTCGTCTTTCCAGCTTGCTTGAGACTTACCCCCCAGAGCTACTACATTACAATGCATAGCTGTCAGTGAGCCTCACTGCTCTCCCTCCAGCTCTACTGTTTCTTTTATGTGATGTCCTATTCTCCTGTACTGTTTTCTCTCCTGGCTCTTGTCTTTCTAGCTCACCAGAAAGTCCTGATTCCCAAACTGTTTTGTCTCACCTCATATAGAAGACACTAAGAAACAAAACAAAACCACAGCTCTTGCAAACTAGTTTCTGCCCACGGCTGGCCCCTGAGGTTTCTTGTAAACCTTCTTTTCTTGATCCACCATGTCTCATCTTCTGGAGGACTGGTCTAGTCTTTCAGACTCATAAGGTCTTCCCTACGCAGTCTTTCCTCTGTTCACGGCTGCCAGAGAAGGTGTATCTACTAATCCGTCTGCCTGTGCTCTGGACTCCTACTACTTCTTTTCTCCTTTGCTATCGTCCTAACATCTCAGAAGTTCAAGCTGTCTGTTGACAAACATGCCCAAGTGCTCCATTCTGTAAGAATTTCTTCAGACTCACAGCTCTCTCTGTTCTTTATTTTAAATAAATTTTCCCTCAATATTTCATTAACTCATGGCAATCTGCCTTCCCAATGTCTCTTGATAAGATTATCAAATTCTACCTACCAATTATTGAATCTTGCAGATATTCCTCAGGCCTGATGCTACTTGAATACTCTTGGATTGTCCAGCCACCATCCAATCAACTTTCCTTCCTTCTCATATTGAATGCATTTCCTGCTATGTCAACTTCTGTCCCTGTTTCTAACTTTCGAACTTTGCCTACTAGGACTCCATCTTTGGTAAGCTGCTCTTTTCATCCTTTATTTCTGGGAATCCGTTCACTGTAAAGTTTCAATATACTGATGACTATTAAACACTTAACTTCAGCTCTGTACTTTTCCTGCTGTCTCTTGTGTATCTCTAAGATTACTCATGGTACCCCTCTCTTCCATTTCTAGGTCTTTCTTAGTGAATGGCAACCCATTTAGCCACCTGCATCTAGGTAGCTAAACCTGAGAGACAGTCTCCATTTCATCCTTCTTCACATTTACCTAGTGAGTAGTTGCACATATACCACTGCCCTGATTTTCAGGCCTTTCTCATGGCTGTCTCTGGTCCATCCTTTTAACCTCCTAACTGGCCTTTCAATCCAGCATTCAGTGTTACTCAAACAGAGTTCTGTTTGTACCTTGCTTCTGATTGGATGCCACTGATAATTTAACTCTGCCAAAATGATCAACTCCAAATTCCTTAATTTGAAAGTTTTCAATAATATAAGCCCTGACCTTTCTAGGCTTTCTCTGAGAAGTCCCAACATGACATTATGTCTCGGGAATTCCAAAGCACATACAGTCCTGGTACTACCCATTCTCCTCTCTACCTTTAGCCCCATCCTTTCTTCCTGGAAAGCTCTTCTCTTCCCCAGCTGAGACATGGCCATTCACCTAGTCTCATCTAGACAAGGTGTCACTCTCCAAGGAAGAGGGTCTTGAACAAGGCATAGCTGGGATTAGGTGTCCCTTCCTGCAATTTTATACTATCAATTGTGTATCTTTATTGATTTACAAGTATCTTTTAAAAGTTTGTCTTCTATATAAGACATTTAAAAATGTAATTTGTATTCTCCTCATACAAAATACAAATGGTATTCAAATAAATGACTAAGGGCTGGAAGAATAAATCCTTGCCTGTCCCTTTTAGTTCTAGGTATCTGGCTCCCAAGTTACATTTTTTTTGTTTGTTTGTTTCTTTGTATGGTTGTTGTTTCAAACCAAGCCCAGAACACCAGATACATGCCAGATGGTTGGGGAAGGCACAATATTGAGCATAGCTCCATCCCCAATACCATGCAGTAGGGCAGCAATACTCGTTTCCTTTTGAACTCTCTGAGCCCAGGAACAAGGGAAAGGGAAAGCAGTCACGAGGACCACAGAACGCTGATCAGCTTACCCCTGGAGCAGAGCCTACGCACAGTTGAGGCAGTGCTCAATGGGAGGCCACAGGAGGGAACCAAGGGCCGATAGCCAGGAGTTCGAATGTTTTGGGAGGTGCCGATAAGGCTGGCAGGCTTCAAGGCAGTGTCCATCAAGTCTGAGTGTGTCTCCAAGGACCGGGCCAGGCTATTCCCCAGGACGAAGGATTCACCTGGAAATAATAAAACCAGGATTAAAGTAAGGACTGGCAGAATGCTGCTGGCTACAGGTACTTGCCTGAGTGAAAAAAGAGGCAGCAAGACATAAAGTCCTATAGGGATTCAGGATGCCTGTGTATTAGTCATGGCTCCTGGTTCCCACTAAGAGCTCAAGACTTGGATTCCTTCTGGACTCTAGGTTCTCTAGCCTGTTCCTCTTGGCCTGGGATAGCAATAGGCCTTACCTGTTTAAGGAAAGAGGGTCAGGGGCAGTGGGAAGGGACACTCATGCTCAGGGGAGGGTTCTGTAGGCAGGCACCCATGAACACACATGTGGAAGCCAGAGGATACTGTGTCTTCCTCAATCACTTTCTACCTAATTCCCTGAGACAAGGTCTCTCATTGAACCTGAAAGTCAAGTCACTGTTTTGGCTAGTCTGGATGGCTGGCGAGGCCCCAAGATTTGCCTGTCCTTGCCCCCAATGTTGGATGGAGCTATAGGCACATACAGCTTTGCCCAGCTTTTATGTGAGTACCAAGAATTCAAATGCAAATCTTCACAGTTTCAGAGCCAGTGTTCTTAGTTCCTGAGCTGTCTTCAGAAGCAGATGCTGATATGTCAGCAGACATCTCGGAACTATTCCATGACACCTGATTAAAGACCTGTCTGCAGAGCCTGCTTCTTCAGTGCCTCAGGTCATCTGTATTGACCTTGTTCTACAGAAGCATTCCAAGGAAGCTCGGGGAGCTCAGGCACGGGGACCAGGACCAGGGTTAGAACTTGACTCTGTCACTCAGCAGAGTGCTTCTCACTGCATCATGGAGAAGCCAGAAGTAGTTCATATATACTATAGTAAGACTTCCAAGGGTCTGTGAACATCTGCATGCCTTTGGGAAGGGAATCTCATGCCAAATCTACACCTCTATGGGCAATATCAGATAGTAGAACATACATCACCATATCATGGAACCTAAAGCTGACATCTTGGGATAGCATGCTGGATAGTTTATGTCAGCTTAACAGAAGCTAGAGTTATCTGGAAGGAAGGAACCTCTATTGAGAAAATGCCTCCATAAGGTCTAGCTGTAGGGCATCTTCTTGATAGTATAAAATTGCAGAACCTAATCCCAGCTATGCCTTGTTCAAGACCCTCTTCCTTGGAGAGTGACACCTTGTCTAGATGAGACTAGGTGAATGGCCATGTCTCAGCTGGGGAAGAGAAGAGCTTTCCAGGAAGAAAGGATGGGGCTAAAGGTAGAGAGGAGAAAGGGTAGTACCAGGACTGTATGTGCTTTGGAATTAGTGATTGATGTGGGGTGGCCCAGTCTATTTTGAGTAGTGCCACCCTGGGCTGGTGGTCCTGGGTTCTATAAGAAAGCAGGCTGAGCAAGCCAGTAAGCAGTCCCCTTCCATGGAGCTGCATCAGCTCCAGCCTCCAGGTTCCTGCCCTCTTTAAATTCCTGTCCTGGCTTCCTTTAGTGATGGACTACAATGTGGAAGTGTAAGCCAAATAAACCCTTTCCTCCCCAGCTTGCTTTTTGATCATAATGTTTTGTCACAGCAGTAGAAGCCCTAACTAAGACAGATGGTTCTACTTAAACCAAATCAGTTCCTTAGACACAGCATTGACTGTACAAGTATTAGGGACTTAAATATCAGAAGATCTCACTGACCCAGTATTTATCTTTGAGATTTTGTGACTAAACATAAATTTATTATCAGGCTAAGAGACCCTCAACAGTAAGATGTCTTAGGATTTTAGGACTTCTGTTATCTAAGTTAGCTTAGCAAGCATGGACCCAAAGTCAAATCTATTTTTAGGTAACCATTTATCCTCTTCAGGAGGTTAGTTGTGGAGGTATTTTCCTAGAAGTAATTTGAAAAGACAAGTTTTTGAGGCTCCAGAGTCCACACACACTATCTGCAGTTGAGGTTCCCCATTCCCGCTTTCCAGGGGAGATGGCAGGGCAGTAGCAAGCATGTCCCATTTTGAGACATGAGCAGAAAGTCAACCCCTAAAATAAGAGACCCGCTTCTACTTCTGGCTTCTTCCATTTTCAGTGCAAGGAGTTTGTCTTCTCTGAGGTCCTGCTCCCTTGTGTATAAAGACAGGGAGAATACCAAATGAAAGATGAATCTGAGGAACTGCTGTTTTGTTTTCATTCAGAGTTACAACAATGACCTTGAGTTCTCTGCCTGCCATATATCAGAGTCAGCTCACTTTTCCAGTGCACATTTACTTAGCTATGGCTGAGAATCATGCTGCCCGTTTCCCGGGGATAAGAGATGTGAGGAAAATTATGACTATCCTATATCCTAGCAGTGCTAGGAATCACCGGAGTTGACACAGATCAATGAGAGTCTCTTCCCTTCAACAGTGCTAAGGATGCCACTTAGGTCTGGATTCTGAGTTGAGTGAAAGACTGGACTGGTGATGTCTGAAACTAGGCATGGCCAGTAGATCTTGCCCTAAGAAGGTGTACTAGGAAAATGAGGCATCATGCCCACACTTAAGAGCCACTGGTCCTTGTAAGGTTGGTAAGATGGGGTCTTTGCTGCCTCTGGTAGGGAAAGGCCTGGACAAGACCATAACCCTTTCTAGCTGTGCTCCACAGAGCCCCAGGGTCCTTTATAGGGAAGCTCTGGGCCTTATCCCAGCATCAGTGGAAACATAATCTCATTTTTTTTGTGCAAAAATAACTTTTGCTAATAACAATGAAATTTCCTATGTCTTCCTTTTGTCACAAAGTGATTCCATTTTCAAAATCCTGTAGCTCATAGAAATAAGAACTGTCAACTCATGAGGGTACCCTTCATGAGCACATAGGTTTTCTTATGGGACCATTATGGTTTTGGGTGACTGATGTGTTAACTGAAGCACACTGTTAAGACCTAGGGACACCTCATCTGAGAAGACTATGTAATTACTGTTCCTTTTGTTTGTAATATTTACAACTTTACTGCTTCTTAATCTACTGTACTTTGTTATCCTTCCAATTAAGCTCAGATGTCTCAGATCCCAGCATGGAGAAGGGGAAGTTTCATCCCTTACAAGAAGCTGTTTGCAGCTGACACTTTCGGGGAAAGGGAAAAATCAGTTTTCTCCAATGCAGCGTCACTGTCCTATACCCAAGAGTAGTTAGTTGGTCAACATAAAACCACAAAAATGGACTCTCATTTGTGTCTGTGATTTTTGTCTGTTATTTTTTGCCTTACTAGTTCTTTTTGGTCTGTTTTGACTTTTGTTTCTTATTTTCTTATTTATTTGAGAGAGTGGGTGTATGAAGTTGGGTGGGTGGGGATGTGGGGAGGATCTGGGCTATGGTGCAGAAAAGGACATGGCACCAGCATGGGCAAGGCCTACACTTGTTCAGTGTTCTCACTGCTCTAGCTCCGTGTTCATTCAGTTTCCCCTGCGAGAAAAGCCAGGCTGTGAGCCTGGAACCTTGGAAACATTATATTCTCTATGCTCAGTGGTTGTCTGACCTATGCTTTGATAAAGACCCAATGAATGGTTGTACTCTTGGGGGAATTTTTTTAATGATGTTGCCCTTTTTTAAAGATTTTATTTATTTATTAAGTATACAGAAGAGGGCACCAGATCCCATTACAGATGGTTGTGAACCACCACATGGTTGCTGGGGATTGAACTCAGGACCTCTGGAAGAGCAGCCAGTGCTCTTAACTTCTGAGCCATTTCTCTAGCTTCTCTCTTGGGGGATTTTTGGTAGTCATTTTATTGAGAGTCTCATGGATAAAATGCCCTCTTTTTTTTTTTTTGGCTAAAATCTGTCTTCTTACAAATTGGTCCCCATGCTCTACTTTCTGTACTCCAAAAGAACAACTCTGAGTCCTTCCTGCCTTCCCAGACTTCCCTGGGAGTATTTGCTACTTGTGACTTTTCTCCACACTCCTTTCCCATCCTTTCCCTTTTCCTCACCCCCTTGCTGGCTACCTTTCACTGGAAATGCTTATAGGGAATGCTGTGCAGTAAGATGCATGGGGAGAGAGGCTACCTCTTATTGAGGGTGTGAGCCCAGGACAAGGGTCTCATCTCTGCCCACTGACATTCTGGAGAGCAGTAGCACACACTCATTCTCCAGCATCACAACAGAAAAGGTAATTTACATTAACCCTATATGACTAGAGATTTTCCATCTCTTTCTTAATAGATGAGCAAGCTGATGCCTAGGACAAAGCACAGTGGAAATGGATGAATGATCATGCCAGAAACAGAACTCAAGTCTATGAGTCCTCAAACAATGGCACTATTTCCCCTAGAAGTTAACAGTCAAGGAATTTCAAAACAGCAGATCTAAAAGTTACTGCTATGCAGATTTCAATTATAGCTAGTGTTAATATCCACAGCAAGTAGCTGAAAAAAATTTCCTGCTTCATATTACCAACTCTTCAGGGAGTCCCCAGGAGCTCTTTAATGTAGCTCCCACTAGTCTGTCACTTGACTTAGAGCAGCACATGCAGCCCTGTAGAAGAGGCACTACTCTACGCTGCCTCCTCCAGGAATCCTCTCTCTTTCACAGTGACTGGGCTGGAGCATCTCTACTCCATGCTCTTAACCACATGTCTCTTCCCTCTCAGCTTTCAGGGTGCAGAGGTTCAGTCTGTCTTATCTCGGTCTTCTAAAACCCAGGATAGATTGTAGTAAACAGTGATAATTTAATGACCTAAATTTGGTGACCTAAAGCCAAAATGCCTGAATTGGGGCCTTCAAAATGCCAATGCAGTCAGAGAAGACAGAGAGTAGAGAACAGCTTTAGTTTCAAGGAAGCTTAAGAGTCAGGACAATGAAATGCACCAAACAATCTTATTTGATCCTAAATTAGAGAAAATAAAACAAAGAACAGCTATAAAGAACAATATTGAGACAACTTGGGAAATTCTGATCTGGATGGTATAGTAGCCCAGGAGTATTTTATTTACATTAAATTTACTGAACACAAAAATATTATCCTTTCTGTTTCCCTTCTACCCCTCTTCTCATCCATTCTCCTTTCTTCCCCCTCTTCTTTCTCTTTCTGATATAGGGTTTCACTGTGTAGCTTGACTACACTTTAATTTGTGAACTTCTTGCCTCAGATTCCTATGGGCTGGAATTACAGGCAAGTGCCTATGTTTTGTGCTCTCTAAAAGTATATATGTCACTCGTGTGTGGTGACACACACACACATACACACATACATACAAAGATATATATATATATATACAATATTTCACTATCAATTAACTGTTGTGTGCAAAATAAACAAAATTTTATTAAATATTAATATTATTAATTAAGTATATAGATACAAATAAATCTGCAGAGGACAAAGCAAATATTGTATAAAGCTAAAAGTGACTCTTGGTGAAGGTCTCATTTTACTTTTGTTGTTGCAATTTTACTGTAGGTTTGAAAGTTTCTAAAATAAAGCAGTGAAAAAAGAAATTGTTTCAATTTAGGTAAAGAAGCTTTAAGGGATATGGACTTTTGATAGCTATCTGTTACACTGGAAGTACATGGTCATCTAGGCAAAGTCCACAGAGGGAGGGAAGTGTGGTGGCAAGGCAGGAAGTGGGGAAAGGGCTCCAGTAAGCAACTTCGTCAATATAGATGGGACCCATGGATGACACATCAGTAGAAGTGTGTGACTATGCAGATGGGCAGGAATGGCAAAAAACAGGTTTAAAGAAAAGCAAAAGAAAGCTGATACTGATGGAGTTTTCTGCAGAGGATAGATATGTAATCAGAAAAATACAGGTGCTGATGAGATATCAGAGGTAGACCAAAGGGTCTGTAAGACAGCAGGCAGGCAGGGAAGACAAGCTACAAAGCAGAGAAGAGTCAGAAGCCCAGACAAGCCAGGGCCTTGTCTGGGCACAGTTAAAATACTGCTTCTGAGAATCCAACAGAAGACAGGATGAGGCAGAGTGCTGAGAATCTCATGAGCAACTGAGCTAGGTGGGCAGAGGCAGTACAGTCTGTGTGGAAACAGGGTAGAGAAAGGACATAGAGTCAACAGCTGAAAGGGACACCCCTGTTCTTTGTCTTTTTTTGTAGCTGGTGAGGCAGGAGCAAAGAGTCTGGATGGAGCTTGCTTCTTTTATCTGGTAATGAATTAGAGAGATACAAACCAGAAGAGAAGTCCCAGGAAAGGCTGTGCCATGACTGGTGTTCTCAGTAGCCTCTCAATACAGCTGCCAAAGTACTTTCCCTAGTTCCTGAAGGACAGCATTTTGTTTAAAAATTCTGAGTTTCTGTATCTTTGAGCAGCTGCCTTACTGGACACGCACCTTCTCTTTCAGACTTCTAGCAAGGCCTTTCAATAGGGAAGCAGAGTCCAGGGCTCCCGAATGACGGTGACTGAGAACATTTAACACTTTGTCTTTGTCTGTACCAACTCCATCCTATCCAGTACAACATTATAACTCAAGGCTGTATTACGGGTTCTGATGCTGAACAAAGCCATCTACAGCAGGTAGTTTAAGAAGTTCCCTGTGAAGGAAAGAACCAGCCGAGGTGCATGGTACAGCCCCAGGACCAGATGTTGGTCTTCTTGCCACCGCATATGAAGAATTTAGGTATCTTTTTGCCCCTAAACACACACCAGCAGATCTCATGTGGTCGCAGAGGTATAGAGGGTCAGAGGAGGAAACTGGGTGTGTGGCCACTTCCCTGAGCACATCCTCCAGAAGCAATACTTTAGTCACAAGTCATGAAAAGACCAAGGAAGGGAGTGTGAGGCTCATGTAGAAGATCCCAGAGCACCTCTCAGACTCAGACTCACCCCCACAGCAAACAGAATAGCCAGTACTTCCTCTCTGCCCAGGGTACCATCTACTGGTCTCTTTTAAAGAGCAATTCTTTCCTCTTAACAGCAACCTACCTCTCTATGTTTGGGACCAAGCTTGTCCCCCTCCCTCGATTTTGTGTCCTGTACTCCAGATCAGAGATGCCGAGCTCCACTCACTCTTCAAGCTCTCTTGGAAGTGCTTAGTCACCGACCCAGCCACGTGGCATCCGCTTTCTCATTGTGGGTCTGGTATGGTTAACTAAAAAGTTATTTTTCAGCCTTGTTGGAAATAGCAGGAACTTGAACTGACTTGTTAGACTGGCAATGCTAGAAGAGTTAGGGCCATGTGCCAAAGAAAAGAATGGATGGCCAATCAACATGGAGCAACTTTCTCAACCTCTAGCCTAAGACTAAACCTTGTTGTTGGCAAAGGAGAGCTATATGAGGCCTTTGATGCCAGATTCACCCTGGGAGATGTGCTGGGACTGCATGGGCTCCACACTACAGATGGAAATCATAGGGCAACTTCTAGAGACAGGGGTCCAGAGGAAAGAGAAATCCCAGAGTGACAACAAAAGCTTGACTGAAGACTGAAAGCCCTAGATGTGACCAAGATGTGGCAAGGGATCTCTGGACAGCGGGTGCTAGACTCGCAAACCTGAGGGCTTCCCCTGAGCCCTTGCAGATACTACTGATTGCCCAGCCCCCTCACAGCCCAGGTCCCATCCCAGCTCCTACCTGGTAGGTACCTGTCGTGGCTGTGGCTGTACTCTGTGGCAGTGAGTGGTAAGTGAGTCTGTGTAAAGGGCTGGTTGCCAAACAGATTGTCACTCCGAAGGTTGTGGCAGAGCTTCTCCAGGAAGCGGAGGACATAGGTGATGCTGTTCACTGCTGGGAGGTTGAGAGTGTGCTGTTCCCGGTCAAACATGGCTGTGGAGTTAAGTAAACAAAGCAAGTCAGTTGTGCAGTGCAGTGCTTGCCAGAGAAGCCCAGCTCACTGCTTGTCTTGGGATTGGCTGGTTACACAGAGGCAGTGCCCAGGCTGCTTGCCAGTCTGTCTTCTTCCTGCCGCCCTCCCTTGCTCAAGGGCTTTGATTTTTGCTTCTAGCTCCAAAGGGTGTACAATCATGGGAGTGGCCAGGCCAAGTCTGTTGCACCCTCAGGGCTCTGGAATGATTTCACTCAACTGTGAAAACAACTGTGAACATAATGCTATCTGCTTCATCACCTGGCTGAGCTTCCTTCAGGAAGTGTGTTCACCCACGGTGCTGTTTTCACGAGAAAACTGCCCAAGAACAGGGCAGCTATACAGAAGGGAATACTGACATTGGTAGGAAGGGTTTAGGTAAACAATTTCCAACGTATATAAGGACACCAGATTTGGGTAACACTTGGAAATGTTTCATTCTTTTTTTTTTAAGTTTATGTCCTATCTAGTTCTATCAAAATATTGGCATAATTTTTTAAAAGCAAAAAAGGTTCATATAATTGTCTTTGGCAGAAGTGAGAAAACAGAGATCTGGGGAGAAGATTCGCTTTAAAAAAGTTCTGAAAAGGAAGAACTCTAGGCAGGTAAGGAGCTCAGACCCTGCACAGTGCTGCAAGGGAGGAGCCAGAGAGTAGTCTGGGTCTCAGAAGGACAGGCTCAATGTATCCGTAGTTCCCATTCTCCATGCAGCCAGTTATTGCCCAGACTTAACTCCGGAACAAGTAGTTCTCTGCTGACACCCTTCCACAGACTATTTAAATTTTCTTTTCTACCAGTGCAGACCTGAGCCTGTCATCTTCTGCTTTCCCTTTTCCCGACCAGTGTGTAGCAGAAACCTCTGACATACAGTAAAAGGTCAATAGGTATTTGCTAAAAGAACTGTTGCTATTTATGCTCCCTGCCAGCTGGTTTCTGAAGCTAGTTACAACAGCTTGCTAAGGAGGAAAGGGAGGAGGCTGTACAGCAGCATTAGAGTAAAGACTGGAAGGCTGCAGGTCAAGCCTCTGTAGGCTTGGTGGGTAAAAATAAGATTTCGAACTTAAGAAAATTGAAACAGAAACGGGCACAGCAAGAAAGTATTTTCAAGCTGGGCGGTGGTGGCGCACGCCTTTAATCCCAGCACTCAGGAGGCAGAGGCAGGTGAATCTCTGTGAGTTCGAGACCATCCTGGTCTACAAGAGCTAGTTCCAGGGCAGGCTCCAAAGCTACAGAAAAACCCTCTCTCGAAAAAACCAAAAAAAAAAAAAAAAAAAGTATTTTCAGTTACAACAAAAAGTACTGCACTGTTAAACTCATTTCCCTCTGTCCTGGGACTCAGCTCCCTTGTATGGGTCCTATAAACCCAGAAGCTAAGGAGGCAGAGGAATGAGAGGAGGTCAGAGGTCCCCTGAAACCACTTGGGGAAATTCTCTTGTGGCATCAACACAGCCTATGTGTATCCTTCCTCTAGAATGGCTTTAAGCCACACACTCATATATTCTGTGGGGACTCTGTTCAAAGGCTGTGTTAGGCAGTCTGGCTATTCTTGGCAGAGATGTATGGTGTATACCATCTATGGCACATAGTTCAGAAGAGTCTGGAGCAGGAAGTGAGGACTCTTGAGGAATGGAATACTTCTGAATTCTCCAGAGTGGATAAATTAACTTGGAACTAGGACGTCTCATCAGAATGAAGGCTTGCCTCTCTGGCTAGGAGGCCAAGCCAGTTTGAAAGTGTTTACCTGAGATGACCTCACCGCCATGGCCCTGTTTGAGGAAGCTGAAGACGGTTTTCTGATGATAAGCGCAGTCAATGCAAGCCTGGACAGCCTGCTGTAACACCACGGAGGCCCGGGCTGGCCCGAAATGATCAGGAAGTCGTTGGATCTTCTTCTTATCCAAGTGGGGGCCTGTGCTGCCACTCTTGTTCAAGTAGATACAAACTACAGGAAACAAAGAACCCAGGAGCCTTACAGTGTGCCCGGCAAAGAGAAGTCAGAGTGCAGCTCTCTCTTCTATCTGCTCAACTCTGGACTTGGCTCTCCTGAGATTTCCCCACAACTATACTGCAAAATACTGTGGGTGATAAAGGGAGGTTTGGAAAACTGCCACTAGTCCAAGCTGCATGGTCAAGGTCTCCGGGGACACAGCCTGTTAGGAGAAAAACCCAGAACAGAAACCAAAGCACAGAACTTGTGTTTTGTTTTCTGGGCCCTGAAAAGAAAATATAAACTCTGCTCTTTCCCAGAACTTTCTAAGGTGAATCAGACAACAAGCAAAGAGACAGCCAATAGCATTATGGAAACTAGACAGAAGATTGGTGAGGTAGCCACTGACTTAGCAGACTCTAAGAAGCTTTGTGTTCCAAAGCAGGAAGGAGACTCACTTAAAGACAGTTGATTGGCAGAATAAAGGTGCTATGGAATGGCTATAAGGGTCAGGCTATGAAAAGAAGGATCAGTCTAGGTCTGCTAAGAAATAGGAACCTGGGGAATATGGAGATGTTCAGTGGATAAAGTGCTTGCTGTACAAGTTTGTGGATTGGATTTAGGACCACAGAACCCATGTAAATGCTAGGTAGGCATGGTGGACAACCTATAACCCAAACAGTTGCAAGGCAGAGACAGGAGATTGCTGGAGATGGTAGCTACACAGACTATCCCATATAGGTGAGCTTTGGTTTCAATTGAGAGACCCTGCATCAGTGAATAAGGTAGAAAGAGATCTAAGAGGACTATTGGCCTCTGCATGCACGTGTGCACTTGCGTGTGTGCGCATGCATACACACACAAATACAAAAACTACACAAATATACATGAAAAATAAACAGGAAATGGTGGAAAACATTTATAATTCCAGCGCTTAAGATGTTAGGCACGATTCTGAGTTCAAATTTAAGAAAAACAAACAACAATAACAAAAAAACAAAAAGTAAAAAAAGAAGCTGGGCAGTGATTGCACATGCCTTAGTCCCAACACTTGGGAGGCTGAGGCAGGTGGATCTCTGTGAACTGGAGGCCAGCCTGGTCTACAAAGTGAGTTTCAGGACAACCAGGGCTACAAAGAGAAACCCAAAAAACAAACAAAAAACAAAAGTTAAAAAAAAAAAAGTAAAAAAAGGATTTTCATGTTTGGCAGTGTTGTCCTTGTACTGAAATGGCTAAAAATGGAGGGACTCAGAGACAAGACCCTTAACACAAACGTTCATAGCAGTTTATTTACAACAATCTCAAAACCAGCTCAACTTCCCATCAGCAGGAGAATGAACACACAAACTATGGTATGTTTGTTTAATGGAATACCACCTGGCAGAAAGAAAACCTTGACCTATAGATAGGTACAACCATAGAACTGCCTTTCAAAATTTTTATTTGAGTGAAAAAAATCAGATACAAGGGTGCAAAGAGACAGCATGGCTAATTTATATTAAATTCAAGATCTGCAAAATCTAATTTATGATAAAAATATTTCAATCACAGTGGAGACAGAGACCGACTACAAGGAGCCTGACGGAACTTCTAGGGTAACAGAAGAGTCCTATGTCTTGATCACAGGAGGTGGATGGGGGAATTACACAGGTGCTGACATTTATTAAAATTCAGCAAATTGACCGAGTGGTGGTGGCACATGGTTTTAATCCCAGCACTTGGGCAGCAGAGGCAGGTAGATCCCTATGAGTTCGAGGCCTACAGAGCTAGTTCTAGGACAATCAAGACTACACAAAGAAACCCTGTCTAAAAAAAACAAACAAACAAACAAACAAAATAAAATCTCACAAATTGTATGAGTGTACAATATATCTGATTTTTTGTTTATTTATTTATTAAAAATTTCCACCTCCTCCCATTTCCCTCCCACTCCCCCGTACAATATATTTGCGACTAAGATTTGTACATTTCACAGATGTAAGTCTTATTTGATTATTCTAATGGTGATTTTGAAATGAATTTTACGTGGATCATATGGTGAAACACCAAAGGCCAAACTATGCAACCTTCAGAAGACTGTCGGTTTTAGACATGCATCTTATTGTTCTCTGTCACACTTGACCAACAGGTAGCGGTAGGCATGATACTGTGCCAGTTTCTGTGTCTAGGACTAAGAAACTAGCAGTTTTTACTTCTTCTTTTTGGTATATTTATTCTTCGATCCCAACTATCTATCATGTGTAAAAAAACAAGTCATCTTGCAGAGAGGTTCACGTGGAGAAACGGGCAGAACCAATATGCCATGTGGAAAAGTAGATCTCCAAACCTAGTCAGCTCCTTTCCCCACCTGGCATTGTATGCAATACATGAGCTGTCTTCACACCGAATGCCCTTAATGTTTCAAACTAGAAAGTTTTGTAGTAGTTTGTCATATAGCAAAGGCTTATCAGAACAGATTCTGATACAAGATGCTTCAGAAACAAATGCCAAACACACATCACAAGCTTTGGAACCAGGTGGCAGAAAGCACCACAAGCAAAGTACCAGTGGGAACTCAAGTCTTCGGTTAGTTATTATTTTTTCTTTAGTGCTGGGGACCAAATCCAGGGCTTCATACAAGCTAAGCAAGTGCTCTACCACTGAGCTACATTCCCAGCCCCTTTAAGAGTTTTAATGGAAGCCTAAAGTTTCCCAGAAGGCTACCCATCCAGGGTTTAGGAAAGTGGAGACAACAGTAACTGGAGAGTGAAGGATGGGGCACAAGTACTAGGAAGGAACCGAAAGTCTGATATGACTGTTGCCCATAATAGCATAAAACAGGAAATGTACTTAATGAGCTCAATGAAAGAGCTACAATTTTAAAAGTCATCAAAATGCTACCTGCCTTCTTGCTGCTTATGATAAAATGTAAGATATGAGATAAAATCCTTTATTAAGTGGTAAGAAAGAAGGTGGGGTATGGTGGCATGTATTTTCAGTCCCAGCATTTATAACAGAGGCAGGTGAATCTGAGTCTGGTGCCAGTCTGGTCTACATCATGAGTATCAAGAGAGCCAGGGCTACATAGTGAGACTTTGTCTTCTCAAAAACAAACAAACAAACAAACAAAGAATCAGAAAAGGTCGAAGAATATGCTTCATAGACTTCTTTCAGACCAAAGATTTTCTAAGAAATTTGCTAAGGGAAATCCTTGTAGACTCTTTTCTTTATACAACAAGATTAATTTTTTCCCTTTAAAAATATTTTAATTAAAATACAATTACATAATTAACCCCCCAAAGTTCTCTCTGATGTCTCCTTCCTTCCATTCCCTCTCAAATTCATAGCCTTTTTCTTTAATTATTAAGATTTTCCAGGGTACTTTTAGTTGTATCTGCAGAGGAAGTAAACCCTGATGTTATTCAGAGAAGCTATCATTTTGTTAGAATGATCGCCAACATGAACTTTAGAAGATTCAGAGACATACAAAATGGAGAACATTTGCTTTTCCAGCCCCACTTATTTTTATTCTTCTCTCATATATTACAACCCAACCAGTTTCCTCTCCCTCCTCTCCTCTCACTGCCCCCCACCACCCCAGATCCACTCTACCTCTGTTTCCCTTCAGAAAAGGGCAGGCCTCCCAGGGATATCAACCAAACATGGCATATCAAATTGAAACTAGGTGTCTAACTACAGTCCCAGAGGATCTGACATACTCTTCTGGTATGTATAGGTACCATACACATACTTGCAGGTAAATATCCATATCCATAATATAATCTCTTTGGACTCCCAACCTTTCTTAGGCAAGCAGAAGGGAGAAGACTACATAGGTATCTCATGGCAAATGAGAAACAGAACTACAAATGTCTAGGAAGCAGCAGCACTGGACCTAATTAAGGATTTGGCTCATGTGCTCATTTGAATTCTGGAATTTCTCAGATTAGTGACTGCTGCACACTATAAAGTCATCCTAACCCTACCTACAGCCACATGTTTGCTATGTGATGGAGAGGAACAACATCCAGGTCCTGTGGCTGAGAAATGTCACAGAGGAGTACTTGTGTATCTGTATCTCACTCAGAGGATGAGACAGACGCTGGACCTTCATGTAATGAGATAAGACTTTTGATGAAGAGTCCTGTGGGGGAAGAATTAACTTCTCAAGCAGGAAAAATGTAAATAATTTATATTTAGAGAGTTGTCTTAAGTAGTTTTAAAACATAGTTCATGATTCTTTAACTTGCCTCCACTGAGAGGTGAGCTCCGATTAGGGATTCCTTATTACTGAATTTAGGTTTTGTGGCTGACTGATCAATAGAATATGGTTGAAATGATGCCATCTATGCTAAGTTTGGGGCTTGGGCATTAGTCTCTTTCTAACCATATTCTACTGATAGTGTGTATGGCGGCTAGGACAAGTTGGAGTTCTCTGGGAAGAGATATCTCAATTGAGAAAATACCTCGATATGACTGGCCTACAGGCAAGTCTGTAGGGCATTTTCTTGATTGATGATTGGTGTGGTAGGGCCCAGCCCATTGTGGGCAGTGCTAACCCTGGGTAGGTGGTCCTGGACAGTATAAGGAAGCAGGCTCAGTAAGCCCTGAGGAGCAGGACACTAAGCAGAATTCCTATATAGCTTCTGCTTCAGTTCCTACCTCCAGGTTGTTGATCTAACTTCCTTTGAGGGTGGACAGTGATGTGAAAGTGTACACCAAACAAACCCTTTCCTCACCAAGTTTCTTTTCACCAAGCTGTTGTTTTGTTTTGTTTGTTTGTTTTTGAGACAAGGTTTCTACAAGTACAGCCCAGGCTGTCCTAGGATAGACTTTGTAGACCAGGCTGACCTTGAACTCAGAGATCTGGTAGCCTCTGCCTCCAGAGTGCTAGGATTAAAGGTGTGCCACTACTACTGGGCTTAGTCACACCATTTTATCACAGTAAGAGGAAACTTTAAGTTAGAATGATTACAGAATCAGTCAACTCTCTAGACAGAAAGAGTACAAGGTCAACTTGAACAATACTCAAAAGACTGTCTCAAAACAAAACACCAAAAAAATCAAAACAAACTAAACAAAAACCCATCAACAAAACCAAAATAATAAATATTAAAAGAAGCCAGGTGAAAAAAATCATCTTACCTATAGGATAATAGAAACTATGCAAGCAGAGAAAATATAAGGAAATATCTAAATTATTTTGAGAGAAGCCTCCACCAACCTAGATTTCTGAACCCCATGAAATTCTCCTTTAAATGTGAAGGAGAAATAAAGATAAAGAAAAGTCAAAATAGTATCTCTCAAGAAATTTTAAGTCCTTTAGTAAGAGATAAAACAGATCAGAAACCTAGATTATAAAATAAGGAAGGGCTAAGGAGTATAACTCAGTGATATACTACACTTACTACAAGACCCTAGGTTTGATGACCAAAACTACTGAATAAATAAATAAATGAACAAAAGAGAAGAAAATAGGAGAAAGACTAAATGAAGACAGTGTAAATATTTTTATTCTTAATTTACTAAAATTTATTTTCAATAATTATCAACAATAATTATCAATAATATATTTGATTACCTATGCTAATATGTGAGTATATATTTAAATATAAGTGAAATGATTACTACTAATGTCTTAGTAACTGTTCTATTACTGTGAAGAGAAACCATGACCAACACAATTTTTTTTTGTAAGTGTTTTGTTTTGAGACAGAGTTGGTGTGGAAGAATTGTCTGCATTCTGTCAATCATGTATTTTAATAAAACGCTGATTGGCCAGGCAGGAAGTATAGGCGGGTCAACCAGGCAGGAAGTAGAGGCGGGGCAATGAGAATTGGAGAAGGCTAAGGAGGAGGAAGCTCCCTCCGCCATTCCTGCCCAGATCACAGAAGAGGCAACATGTGAGCTGCCACGCTGAGAAAGGTACTGAGCCGTGTGGCTAACATAGATAATGATAATGGAAATAATGGGTTAGAATAAGTCATAAGAACTAATAAGTAGCCTGACCTAATGGGCCAATCAGTTTATAACCTAATATAGACTCTGTGTTATTTTCTTTGTGAATTGCTGGCTGTTGGGTACCGGGCGGGACAGAAACCCCAACAAGTCGGCCCTTCATGTTACACAGAGTCTCTCTACAGAGCCCTAGCTGTCCTGGAATTCACTAAGTAGAGCCGGCTGGCCTTGAACTCACAGAAATATGCCTGCTTCTGTCACCTGAGTACTGAGATTAAAGGCATGTGTCATCATGCCTGGCTACAAAGGTAACTCTGATCAAGTATTTAATTGGTGGCTTCCTTACAATTTCAGAGGTTTAATCTATTCTTATCACGGTGGTACAAATAGTGCTGGAGCCATAGCTGAGAGCTACATCATGATTCACAGGGGATGGGAGGAAACACACACACACACACACACACACACACACACACACACACGGCCTGAGTTCAACACCTAGGACCTACAAAGTGGAAAGAAAAAACAGACTTCCTTTCTGCAGCACTGTCCTCTGATCTTCACCTATGCACTGTGGCATATGTCAACTCCAAGTATATAAATGAAAAACAAAACAACCAAAAACCCAGAAAACCAGATAGAACTACAAGGAATCAATTATTGTAGATGGAAACTTCAACACCTTCTATCAGAAATGAATAGATACAGAGGAAATTAAATATAAAATTAGCAAGAATATAACTGAAATCAATAGTATCATCAATCAACTGGCTATAATTGATATCAAATAACTATTTTATCCAATAACAGTAGCTCAAGCTCACAAAGACCAGTGAGAAAGGCAGACCACATCCTGGGCTACAGAACACTTGAACAAATTTAAAACAGAAACTAAAAAACAGTATACTCTTTCATGTCACAATTGAGTTAAGATAGGAAATACCCAAATATGTAGTCGTTAAAACAACATATCCCTAAAAATACATAAGACAAGTTAATAGTATGAGAAATTAAAAATATTTTAACTTAATCAATATGCAAAAAAATCTGAAATCTGTGAGATACAAGAGAAGCAGTTCTGAGAAGCAAAGCACACAATGAAAAGATTTAGAAAAGAAACATCCCAAATCAGTAATACAAATTTACACCCAAAGAAACTCAAAAAAAAAAGAAATTAAACCCAGACTAAGCAGAAGAGAATAAAAATTAGAGAAGAAACTAATGAAATTTAAAGAAAAAAAATTAAAAAAAAACACCCCAAAAACCAAAAGTTGGTTTTGTGAAAAGATAAAAGATATGGCACCAATAACTTCTATCAGAAGTGGTAAGGAAGACACTGCTACATGTCATATAGTTAGTAAAAGGATAATGATATTATGAATCCCCGTTTCCTGGCTTTCGAGTGGGTCTAGGGAAAACCTAGTTCTCCATAGCCGTTCTCATTCTTTCCATATCTAGTCTACCCCCACTCCTTTGAGACTCCCTGCTGACGTAGAGAACCACTCTCGACAAGGGACACATAGTTGTCACACTTGGCTGGAATCCAAAACTGCTCTTTACCAGGGACCCCATAGATGCTACACTTGACTAGAACCCAGAATGGGGAAACAGCAAGGAAAGAACAAAACACACTTGTAGTTCTTTGAAAGAAAATAGCCCCCAAAGGGAGTGGCAATATTAGGAGTTGTGGTTTTGTTGCAGTGGATGTGGTCTTGTTGGAGGAAGTGTGTCACTGTGGGGGTGGGGTTTGAGGTTTCATATATGCTCAAGCCACACCCAGTGTTCGGTTCACTTCCTGTTGCCTGCACAAGATGTAGAACTCTCACCAGTCTCTCCAGTACCATGTCTGCCCTAATGCCACCATGTCCCACCCTGATGATAATGGACTGAACCTCTGACCTGTAAGTCACCCAATTAAATGTTTTCCTTGTAAGAGTTGTCATGATTATAGTTTCTCTTCACAGCAATAGAAACCCTAAGACAACACCCACCCATCAAAGGTAAGACTGGATATTTATACCCAGAAACATCTCAAATGTTATAACACTAGCTGCCCAGATCCCAGTGGAAACACAAACATGAACAACCAAGACAATACTCCTCCAGCAGAAGCCATCAGACCTATTGTAGTAGGCTCTGAGGACCTTGAAGTGGACATTACTAAATGCTTTAATGAAGACAATGAAAACAGAAAGAGTTGAATGAAATAATGAAAACAACTTAAGATCTGAAAGTATAATTTAGCAAATAAATAGAATTGCTAAAGAAAAGTCAAGTTGAAATAAAATTCAAAATGAAAAATTCAGTAAGTTAAACAAAAAACCTCAGCAACAGATGAAGACACGAAGAGAGACTTTCAGGTCTTGAAGACAAAGTGGAAGAAAGTGCACTAAAGGTTATAGGCATTTTACAGCTACCTTGATAGGTATTTTATAAAATGGGAACACATATGACTTTTGCATGTGTCAGCCAGTGTATAACACACACACCCCCCCAGGTTGATTATCCATTCTCATTAGCTACCAGATTTTACTTTGAATCAATCATTCATTGTCTGGTACCCAAAGTAAAATTCATTTTCACTGTATCAAGGTTTGCTTCCACTAATGATTTTTTTTTAAATTCAGAAGCTTTTCATCTATACTGGAATGGTGGCAGCCTTATGCTACAAGGCTTCTGAAAGGTAGAAGGATCCATTAATAAGGAAATGACCCAACTAAACAAGATGAGTATTACTCTAAACTGGATCAGCAAGCTTTGAATGTTTTCCTATTCTTTGCAACCTGCCCCAGTTTCCCAGCTTTGAGTTCACAGAACAATTACCCCAGTTTTTTTTTGTGTGTGTGTGTGTATTTCTTTTTTTCCATTTTTTTTCTTTTTTTAAAGGTTTATTTATTTATTTATTATGTATACAGTGTTCTGCCTGCATGTGTGCCTGCAGGCCAGAAGAGGGACCAGATCTCATTACAGATGGCTGTGAGCCACCATGTGGTTGCTGGGAATTGAACTCAGGACCTCTGAAAGAACAGACAGTGCTCTTAACCTCCAAGCCATCTCCCCAGCTGTTTTTTTTTCCTTATCGTTCTGACAAAATGAAAGTTTTATATTTCAAAAGCTATACAGAATTCTTTTAGACCTAGGTTTACACATGGACAGGGTTAGTTATTGGTAGAAGACAAGAGGAAATGTAGACACTATGCCTCAGGGGCAAACTGCAGCTAGTTCCATCCTCTGCTCTTACCTGTGGGAGCCTGCATGGCTGAACTGGGGATGGTGGCAGCATCTTGGGGAACAGTGCTGGTATCCGGTTCAGGGGTGCTGGTTGTTGGTGAGGTGGGTGGTGGGCTCAGCAAAGTTCGAGGTTTCCTCTGTTAAAATGGATGGGAAAAGTTTGCTACCTGTGCATGGTACTTTCCCCTTTCATTTCTCTATTCCTAGCACTCAGTACACCCATGAAACAAACATATTTATTAATGGAACCACATTTTATTTGCTACTCAGTATCTGGCCCCAAAGTTGTACATACTGAAAGTACTTAGTAAACATTTTCTGTTTAATGCACTTTTTTTTTTTTGTCAAGACAGGGTTTCTCTGTAGTAATGCACTTTTATGCTAGATTCAGTATCATAAGAACTCTAAATCTTTTGTAAATTGGGCAGATAAAAGCAGAAAGCATGCTATGGCTTAATGCTATTTTGTTTCTTTCTCTAAATGGAATTGAACCTTCTGACTCTACCAGATGCTTTCCTCTGCCTCCTCTCTTTAACTCATTACCTGCTACTCCTTCCCTTAATAATCTAACAGTCCCCAGTCAGAATTCTCTAAAACTCTGCGATTTTATCTGGCTCACATCTTACAATTTTAAGCTTTCTCTTCAACAGGAAATGTTCTTTTTTATGTTATAAATTTATGTCCATCTAGGAAGTTCTCTTACTTTTCTTCTTAGCTCCATACTTTGTACTGTTCATGTGCTATCATTACTTGCTTGCACACTGATGCTCCCTATTGACTTAGAGCTCCGTGAAGGTCTGAGTGCCATTCCTCACATGGCACTTAACACATAAGTATTAATAAATGTTTATCATGAAGCATATAGTATAGATTACCAAAAAGGGGGTAATTAAGAAGATCTGAGAGAAACCTTTTATTGTTATTATTTTTTGCTGGAACTCAGAATGTTTCCAAAAACAGTTTCTAAAAGCCTTTGGGTATACAAGGAAAACAACTATTACCAAGATCCAAAAATCATCTTTTACAAAGTATGAATCTGCTGTATAAATCTGCTGCCCTCTAAGGACACATAATTTAATCTACAGAGATTTGCTGATGGCAGTGGTCATCTATCAGATGGCTTCACATGAGGAAGTCATCAAGCAAAACCCTTATTAGAAATGGACATATGCTTACAATATCAGATACTCCTGAAAGTAAAATTCTATGTAAGTAGGAAGTCATAATAGAAGGTAAATAAATACAAATTCAACTTCAATGAGTTGGTACTATGATTTCAGGGTCCCTCAAAGAGTGGCCTGGTAAGCTGAGTTGTAGAAGAAAGCGGAAAGATGGAAGGTATCATTAGCATTTTAGGTGTAATTACATGTATTACACAGATTCATGCATTAACTTTGATGTGGGATTCCCCTCTGTATGCTATAAATATGTTTTATTACCATTGGTTAATAAAGAAGCTATATTGGCCTACGGCAGGGCAGAATATATGCAGTCTGGAAGAATACAGAGAGAGAGTAGGAGGAATCAGGGAGACGTCATATAGCTGCCCAAGGAGACAGACACCGGAACTTTGTTTGTAGGCCACAACCTTGCGGTGATACACTGATTAATAGAAATGGGTTAATTTAAGATATAAGAGTTAGTAAGAAGCCTGAGCTAATAGGCCAAACAGTGTTGTAATAATATAGTTTCTGTGATTATTCAGGTCTAGTTGGCTGGGAATGAATGAGCAGTCTCCACCTACAAACTTAGTTCCACTTAACAGGGGGTAAGGAGACTCAACACCTTACTGAAAGAAGCTATTCCAAAGTCACACGGTGACCATAAATGGGGATGAGACCAAAACCTAAATGTGTCTGGTTTCTAAGACTTTCTTTTTGTTTCAAAAAGAAGCGGTGTCATCACATGGAAGGCTTATACTTTCATATGATTATGCAAAAGAGTAAAAGGGGTCAGATGTTAGGACACAAATCATGATACCATGAGAATATTTACTTTCAAGAGAATGGCTACTATGTTTTTGACTTCCTGAAGGGTGCAGAGCAGAGCAATCATAATAACTGAGTTCTCAGTTTTCAAAGGATATTCAAAGCCCTATAATGTAATCATCTTCAAAAACAAGAAAATAAAAACAAGCAAGCAAACAAACAAACAAAACTACTTTGCTCCTCCATCTTTCTCACCTTTCCATTTGTCTTAGTGGCATAGGGGTTACTGTGTACCATGTAGTATACCCTTCTGTGTAAACAGCTTTACTCGCAAATGTTCACTATTTAATGCATTGCTGGCCAGGTTCAAGGCCTCTGGCTTTCAGCACACCATGAACACTAGACCCTCACCAACACTCTTCTCGGAGTGTTGCTTCCTTAGTCAGTTTTCTTGTTTTTGTTTTAGTCTTTTTAAATTTGCTTTTTAGTTAATACTCTTATTTATATTTATTTATCTTTATTATATTTTTGTTATTTCTTTTAAGGTTTCCCTTGAGGGGCCATTACAAGAGTAATGGCAAATGTAGAGAGACTGGGAAATGAATGTGACTGGAGTGCATAATGTGATATTCTTAAAGAATCAATAATAATTATGATAAAGATTATCATAACTGAAGATTATAGTAATTTTAATATTTAGCATTCTGATTCTATGATTTCAATGTTTTTTCCTACTTATTCTGTTTTATTTTGAAGAGAAATTCTAGAATATATTTAAATGGCTTGTACTTTGTTAACTACCAAAATGTATGCTAAAACAAATTTAAAAGGATTTGGTGACAGGTAACAGGTAAAATAAATTAAAAGATTTTTCTGAAAAAAAATCATCTTCAATATTTCTGCCTTCTTTTTCTAGAAACGGATCCCTGGCAGTTCCACCTAGTCCCTGAGAAAACACTTGTAAGTACGGGAGCTTACTACTATTTGAGATAGCTCCTTTTATACTGAAACAAAGACCTTCTGTTTTAATTTCAGTTTGTTCTCTCATTTTTGTTTTTGGAGTCTCTCAGATACAGACATTCTCTCTTTTGACTACCCTCAAGATATGCCCACGTAATCAAAACCAAGCCCCTCTGGCCTTGCATTCTTAGGACCTTTATTCAGCCTCTCCTCCACAGGATGAGAAAGCGAAGAGTGAAGTAATGCTGTGATACAGTAACAGCAGCAGCAGTAGCAGTTGTCGTCTTAGTAGTAATAACACTGCAGGACCAGCGCTAGGTATTAGCAGTGAATATTATACAGAAAGAGTAAGCAGTGACATTGAGAATTTAAATCCAATTAAAAAAAAAGACAATTAAGAGCGGTAGTGTCATGACTAGAATCATCCATTCATTCGTCCATCCATCCATCTTACATATACAGAACATCTCCTGTGAGACTGGGATACAAGGAGGAAGAGAGAAGAGAAGGTTAGGTGCTTTACCTTGAGGAGCTTATACTCTACAAGGACTAATGTTAGCTAGAGTTATTAACAAGCATAGCAAATCAACCAAATAACCAACTCTAGGGAAAATATGGGACTGCAATGGAGGTCCAGAGAGAACAGGACATCATTTCCACAGGGTGATTCAAGTAATCAAATTCAGAAGGGAGGTTTTGAGAAACCCTTGATCATTAGGAAGTGGAGGAGAGATGATAACAAGGGCCCTAGAGAAGTTTCTTTTTTTTTTTCACACCATTTCTTTTGCTAGGGAAGCTATCCGTGGAAACACTGAATGATTTAAGAAGTAGTACAATCATTCAGTAGCCATGCTCAGTGAAGCTTGACTTGATCTTTTCCTACATTAGAGGAAAGTATATGTGATGCGGGAGAATTGTCTGTATTCTGTCAATCATATTTTAATAAAACGCTGATTGGCCAGGCAGGCAGTATAGACGGGAAAACCAGACAGGAAGTAGAGGTGATGCAATGAGAACAGGAAAATTCTGGGAAGCAGAGAGGTTCCTCCGCCACTCCTGTGCAGACCATCAAAGAGGCAGCATGTAACTTGCCCTGCTGAGAAAGGTATGGAGCCATGTGCTAACATAGATAAGGATAATGGGGTAACATAAGTTATAATAGCTAATAAGTAGCCTGACCTAATGGGCCAATCAGTTTATAACCTTATGGAGTCCTGTGTGTGATTTTCTCTTTGGGATTTGCCGGCTGCGGGGTACTGGGCGGGACAGAAACCCCAACATGCCAGCCCCTCATGTTACATATATGACCCTTAGGTGTGTGTGTAGTGGTGACCTTGGAACTAGATGTAAAACCAGTAAATGTAGTCTGTCATTCACTTGCTATATGGTCTTAAGAAAATCATTTCACATGTCTAACTTTTAATTTACTTCATAATAAAGTAATGCTAATAGTCTCCCAGAGCTTTGTGATGATCATGATATGAATGCAATAGCATCTAATATAGTCTGACATTAAATAATTAAATGAAGTTTTAAAAAGAAATCTTAGCAATAGCAAACGAAATACATTTACAGAATTAATATATTCTATTTACATGCTAGGCATCTATTTTGTGAAGGTTAATGAGAGGCAGGATCTTTTATCTATGGAAGACATTGGATAGACTCTCTCAAAAACTAAAATTGGTTTCCTATTCCTACTATCCTATCTCTAACATTAGTAAACTACAAGTAAGTGCTAGAATAGAGATGATAATCTAGATTTCTCCTAAAAACCACCAACTAGGTGGACAAGATGGCTAGATGTGCTCCTTTTCGAGATGAAATATGTGGCTGAATTGCCTCTTTGCTGTTTCATACCTCTTTCTGGGAAGCCCACATTTTTACCTACCTTACTGCCAGGTTTGGGACCCCTCTTCTTTGGGAATTTCAAAGGTTCAGCTGACTTGGATGGGGTAGAGGTGGGATGGGGAATAAGGATCTTGGGTGTTCGGCCCCGCTTCTTTCCTGGTTTGCGCCCCCTCTGCCCTGGTTGATGCTCCAAGACAGTTTTGGTGCTGTGGATGCTGGGCTTCTCAGTATTCACATCAGATGCAGGGGAAGGATTCTTTGGAATCACAACTGTAAGAAAAAGACTCATTCTATTATTCCTCTTCCTGTATTTCCACCTGTCTTAATTAGGATTTCTCTTGTGACAAAACACAATGACCAAAAAGCAATCTGGGGAGGAAAGGGTTTATTGAGCTTATACTTCCACACTGTAGAGCATCACTGAAAGAAGCCAGGACAGGATCTCAAACAGAGCAGGAACCTGAAGGCAGAAGCTGATGCAGAGGTCATGGAGGGGTGCTGCTTACTGGCTTGTTTCCCATGGCTTGCTCTGCCTTTTTTTATAGAACCCAGAACCATCAGCTAAGGGGTGGTACCATTCACAATGGGCTGGGCTCTCCCCCATCAATCACTAACTAATTAAGAAAATGCCTTACAGCTGGATCATATGGAGGCATCTTCTCAATTGAAGCTCCCTCCTTTCAGATGACTCTAGCTTGTATCAAGTTGACATAAGATTAGCCAAGACACTATCCCAGACAGAAGAAAAAAATAACATTTCTGTTCAGGGAGTTTGTCCTAGTTTCTTGACATTTGACCTAGATGCTTAGAAAATTACAAAACAAATTGAGTTTATTTGGGCTACAATAGAAGTTTCTTTAAAAAATAATTTCTAGTAGATACAGGAAAATATTAAAGATTTCCCTAATTATCTTAGAGAAGCATTGTGACCCAAGTTCAAGGTGAAGCCTGTGGCTAGAACCAGAGGCTCAGAACTGGGACAGATCTCAGGAGTTTATAGTCTTTTTCTGATGAGAATTAAGATCTAATAGAAGAGAAGTGGTGCCTCTCAGTGGCTACTCAGTGAGGCAAGAACTTTGTTTTCAAAGTGAACACTGACAGCCAAGGTGATATCAACATGGCTGAGGTTTTAGCATGATTAGTGCAGTGTGTGTGTGTGAAACATGAAAATGGAAATCATTTCTCCTCAATTTAAAATGTTTGCTCTTCATTAAAGTCTAAATCCTTTATCGTGATTCCCAAAAGTTCAGACTTTTGACTCTTCTTTGCACTCTAGTTATGATTGATGTCATACATCAACCTTTATTCTAGTTGCTTTATATATTGAGCTCTTCATTACTCTTATGTATCAATACTTAATTTTCTTTCTTTCTTTTTTTCATTTTTTCGAGACAGGACTTTTCTGTAGCCTTGGAGCCTATCCTGGAATGAGCTTTTGCACCGCCACCAAGCAATTTTCCAAGCTTAATCTAAGACCACATTCTTATTGAAGTCTTCTCTGACCAGGACACCATTAAGTCAGCACTTCTAAAGTATTCTGTGGACTACTTAATTTTATGTCATTCATTCATCTTCTCCTTAAATTTAGACTATTTAGAGATAAGGAATACTTAATTCATTACAAAAATAATTATTGATCACTTGCCATAGGTTATATATTGTTTGAGTCCTGGGAATAGAACAGTGGACAAAGCAGACATAGTTTCCACTCAATTTAGTGGGAGAAATGGAAAGGGAATAATATGTATCAGAGTACCAAGTACTGACAAGTGCTATGATTCATGTAGGGTAAGGATACCACATTGTTTGGGAAGCATTCTTTTAAGAGAAGAGATTTAAGTACTGTTCCAAAGGGCAAGCCTATGAAGACCCCACTGAAGAGTTGTCAAAGATTGTTTTGATAAGTCTAATGTGTAACAAATAGAAATTCTAATGTGGGAACATGTTAGTGTTTGAAGTTAGTATAGATGGACATGAGTTTGCAATGTGGAGAATAGATTAGAGAAGAAAAGTAGTAAGAATGAACAGATTAAGCGGGGTAGCTAGCTACTAAACCGCTCTCTATGTAAGCACAAGGACTTACGTCTAAACCCAGGATCTATCTAAAAAAGTTGGGTGTGCTGGTATGTGCTTGGAATCCCAGCTCCAGAGAGACAGAGATAGGAAGACAGCTGGGGCTCCTTGGCCACCAGCCTACACTATCTAGTGGAGTGGCTCAATGAGAGACCTCAACTCAAAAAACAAGGTTTGTGTGGGGAGTGCTGGGGGATGGTGCAGTCAGTAAAGTGCTTGCAGTACAAGAAAGAGCATTCGAATTCAGACCTCTAGTACTCACATGGAGTCAACATATAGTACACAAAGACATACAAGTACTTGAAACTACTACTATATTCCATCATAATTCCCAACTTTAAAGAACTGAAATCCATCCCTAAAAATGGTGAAGGATGTGAAGGAATTAGAATTCAATACTCTTGATCTGAATATAAACCATTCTGGAAAACTGCTTAGTTGTATACCTTATGAACCAACAAAATAAACAATACGGTTACCAACAGACATGTGCTAGGATATTTATTACAGCATTTTTCATGACAAAAATGACAAACAGAAGAACAGAATGCAGTATATTCATAGAGAGGAACACCACAAGAATCACACAAGAACTACTGCTAACCATTTTTATATGTAACAACATAGCTGAATTTCACAGAAATAAGCTACATGAAAGAAGTCAAATAAAAATTAAATGACAAAAAGCCAGAGTATACAATTTGTGAATTGTGAAAACAGAAAAAAAGCAATCTAGATTGATAAGATGGTAGGTGCCTTTGAGGAAGTTGGATATTATGAGGGAACCTTCCAGATGCTTTAAATGAACTATATCAGCATAAAAGAAACAGAGAAGACAGAAAACAGGACTGTGGAGAAGGCTCAGTGCTTGCTGCATAAGAATGAGGATGTGAGTTAAGATCCCTAGCACTCACTGATAAAAGTGGGTCCTAGTGCTGTGCACCTGTGACACTGGTGGATTCCAGAGACTCATTAGCCACCCAGTCTAGCCTAAAAGGCAAGCTCCATGTTCACTGAGAATTTGTCTCAAAAGGGGGCAAGTAGAAAGCAACAGAGGAAGAAGACACCTGAAGTTGGTCTCTGGCCTCCACATGTGCATGTATGGGTCAGTATACCATTATACACATGTAAATACGTGCACACATGCATACATGCACACATACCCCACCAAAGTATAATGGTGCATTGAAATCTTGATATTATTAGAGAAACAGTAATTGGATTCAGAGTACATTTGAAGGAAGAGTTGACTTGACTGGATGTCAGGAAGCAAAAAATTAGCAAGCAAACCACAAAAGCATATTGAACACATCCAGTTAAAATTATATCTAATGAAAAAGAAGAGTTATACATGAAACAATGTTATTAGCTGGGACAGTTGGGAGATCAATGATGCCTTTTATTGGGGAGGAAAACACCAGAGAAAGAGATTCAGAATTGAATTTCTAAAATTGTTTCTTATGAGCTGTCTATTAGATATTAAAATACGGAAACGTTAATTAGGGAGTTATATATCTGAGTCTGGAATTCAAAGGAGATGCTAGAACTGAAGATAAAAATTTGAGAATCATCAGTGTGTTTAATGGTATGTAAAATCATTTGACTAAATAAGATTTTGTTGAGTATAAATACATAATCATGAAAAGAGAGAAAAAGATAGTTTCTAAGACACATTAATATACATCAGTTAGACAGAAGAGCTGGCAAAGAGATTAAAGAGTGGTCCAAAAGAGAATCCAAAAGAAAATGAGTATGAAGTCCCAGAAATCAAGAGAAGTGTTCCAGCACCTGAACCTGCTAACCATATCTAACATCACTTCACCTGGAACACGTCCAGTCTATCTTCTAACTTGATGGACTGAGAATACAACATATTTATCATCTCAGCTTCAAATCAGTTATCTTGAGGTCAGACACACCAAACTGAGGTTCAGTTAACAAAACAACTAGTCTTGTCAATGTAGAGAGAAAAATACAAGAGCTATTCTAGATTCTGAAGGTGAACATGACATACAGTTAATGCAATATATGGTTTGGTTTAGAGCCTGGGGGAAGATATATTTTAAAAAGGAATATTAGATCAATTGATAAGATTTACATACTGATTCTGGTAATATCTGATGTCAAGTGTGGCTTGCTGAGTCACTAGAGTAGGGCATCATACACATTACTGAATAAATCAGAGGATGTATTTATCCCCATGATTTGGCAATTCCAACCATAGGTATAAACACCAGGGAGGTTCTTGCACATATATATCAGCATATGTGCATTAATGCTCATAGTAGTATTATTTTTAATAACTAGCAAGTTATTAAAACTTGATCCAAATACTCACTATTAGTAAGATGGGTTTAGGCCGGGGCACAGCTCACTGGCAAAGCATGTGCTCATGGGCATCATGAGTCCTGGGTTTAATCTACAGCACACATACATTTAAATAAAGGAAGGGGGAATATTTTGTATGTTATGTAAGCTATGTAAGAATGGTGGCTTATGCCTATATAACACAATCACTTGGAAAGCCAAGGAAGGTAGACTGTGGTGAGGCCAAGGTTAGTCTGAGCTACGGAATAAGACTGTCTCAAAAAAGTTATGAAGATAGTGTGTAGTCTGGAGACTTCTAGGGAAAACAGCTTAATTAGTGAAGTGTTTGCTGCCCAAACATGAGGATCTGAGTTTGATCTTCAGAATGTACATAAAAAGCCAGGCAAGGTGGTATATGCTTGTTACCACAGTATTGTGGAGATGGAAGCACATGAATCCCTGGGACTGGCTGAGACGTCAGCCTAGGTTAATCAGATAAGCCCTAGGCCAGTGAGAGACCTCGTTTCTAAAACCCAAGATAGTGCCTGAAGAGGAATGGTAGCCAAGTTTGTCCTCTGGCCTCCAAACTCATGTGCACGCATGTATGTTCTTATTTGTACATAAAATGAACATGCACACACAGAGAGATACAAAAAGAAAAAATTAAAGGAAAAATCCTTTTTGAGAGTCTATAAAGTACAAATGGTTTCTATTGGTAATCAGTATTATTTTCCTTTTTCACATTCATTCTTTCATGGTGAACTTTTCCAGAGGCTACTTTGAGGGTATTATTGTTCGGACAGGTAACAAAAGTGTACTTGTGTATGTTTTTTTTCTTGAACTGTTTACTCATTACTAAATACTTAAAAAAAAACCCCCAGCTTTCTGGG